TTCCGCCGGAGAGAGGGAGAACAGGCGACCCCGAGGGGGGGGGGGGGGGTGCCGGGCTGGAGCCTGATCTCCAGGTCGTAGGGTCGGTGAGGAGGTAACCTGGTAGTGGGTTCTTTAGCGAAGACCTGAGCGAGGTCGTGGTATTGAGGAGGGATGAGCGTCAGGTCTACGTCTGTGGGAGTGGCTGCTTTGGTCCGAGGTGCAGGGGAGTCCCGGTGGTTATGGCAACCCGTGCCCCAGGCCAGGACTTTACTGGTGGACCAGGAGATGTGAGGCTCATGGCGGCAGAACCAGGAATGACCCAGGATGAGTGGCGTGGCCGGAGCCTGGATGACCAGGAAGTGGAGGGTCTCCCGGTGTTGGTCAATAGTCATGTGGAGACCCTGAGTTCGGTGGGTGAGAGGGTACGGCATGATGGGCCGGCCGTCCACAGAGGTCACGGGAATGGGTCGGTCGAGGGCGGTGAGGGGTATCTTGAGCCGAGTAACCAGTCCGTGATCGATAAAACACTCCGCAGCCCCAGTGTCTAAAAGTGCCTCCAGTCTGGTCGGGCCTTGGTCCAGGTGGAGGGAGACCGGGAGAGTGGTTCGGTGTGGAGCCGGAAAGGTGGAGACTCCGGGTGGGACAGCTCCTACTCCGACCCGGAGGGACCTTTTCCCGGTCGTTTTGGGCACGTGCCACGGTGATGACCCAAATCCCCACAGTAAGCGCATCTTCCCTCCTGGTAGCGCCGTGCCCGTTCCTCAGGGGGAAGATGTCCCAGCTGCATCGGCTCCTCCGTCGGTTGGTAAGCTGGCTGGCGGGGTGACGTCCTGGTGTGTACGGGGGCTGACATGGTGCTCGGCCGGTTCAGGATGCAGCGGAACAGTTGGAGAGCCAGATCCACTGCCAGGTCCAGGGAGGTTGGGACCTCGTGCCCGATCATGCCCTCCCGGATTCTCGGTGACAGTCCCTCCAGGTAAACGGCCTTTAGGGCGGCGTCATCCCACCTCAACCGAGCTGCTGTCGTCCGGAAACGAGAGGTGTACTGAGCCGCCGTCTGGGAGCCCTGGCGAAGCTGAAGCAGCCGCTTCTCGTCCGAGACCTTGCTGCTGGGGTGCACAAAAGTCTTTTTCATCTCCTTTACAAAAGTCTCATAGTCATTGCAGGCAGGAGATTTCTGATTGTAAAGAGCCGCCGCCCATTCACCGACTCGACCTGTCAGCAGTGAGGTCAGCAGGGCGACATGAGAGCAGGATGTGGGGTAACGTGCCGGTTGGCACTCGAAAGTCATGGCCAGGGTCGCCAACATGCCCTCCGGGGATCCCCTGGTTCCGTCCCACTTCTCTGGAAGGCTGAGGCGTGGTTCCATCCTGTCAGGAACAGCTGCGGTCTGACGTTGCAGAGCGGTGGTCAGCTGGAGTACTAGTTCGGTGAGTGACTCGATCTTAGTTGCTTGGCGATCAGCTATGGCACGGAGCTGGTTCATTTCTGCCGTATGCTGATCCAAGGTTGCGCGCTGTTGAGCCACTTCGGCACGCAGACGCGCGAACTCCGCTGGGTCAACTTTGGGCTCAGTCATCCTGTCAGGTTCGTTGGCAGATCTGAAGCGTGACTGAGAGTTCTGTTGCCCAGATGCGGAGAGACGGAGATAACCGGCGTGGTTATTTCCTGTAGGTGTAGCTTGAGGGTTTAGAGGGCTGGTAAGCCTGGAGACTCGATGCAAAGTCTGGTGAGAACGATGACTGAGCAATGAATGAAACGCCGGCACTTCCTTAAGTAGTGTCGGCGTGATGACGTCAGTCGCCACGTTAGTGGCAGGAATGAATGGAATGCAGTCAGCTGGAGGAGTTCGTGACAACTCTCGGGATCCCACAGCTTCATTTTAGCCCAGTCACTAGCGCGTTTTATTACAATGATCCAACGTTTGCGGCGCTCCGGATCTTGGGGAATCCTGTAGAAGGCTCATTCCTTATGTCGTCCGTGTCTGTTCTGCATTCTGGGGCACAACAGGAATCTACCATATTTCCTGTTTGATTGAGTTTTCTGACAACAACAAATAGTCCAGCTGCGGGCTTCTGCATGCCAATGTGGCGCCGTTTCGATTTGAACTGTTGCATGCCGCCGATGCCGGGAGAAATGACATCAACGAATGGGGAGGGGATTTGATCCTGCCCAGTGGTAACGGGGGTGAACTACATCATGGTCCTGTTACCTGTTAAACTTTTATAGCTAGAATCTAGACCCAAAAAATAACACTTGTCAATGTCAAGACATGCGACCCCAGATGTTTCTGATTTGACAATAGAGCCTTCTTTTAAAAAAGTAAAAGGAGAAAAAAGAAAAGCACTTCAACTAATTTTCTTTAGGAAAGATCCATTTATGATAATTTAGTTGATTTTGTTCAAACAGTTATACTGGAAATCAGTGGCAGGTGTTGAAAAATGTCTTAGTGGGGCTATGAGTGACATACTTCCCTTTTTTGTTCTTACAGTAGGACAAAAGAAGTATGTAGTCAGCCTCTAAATGTGCAATTTCTTCCACTTAAAACATGAGAGAGGCCTGTCGTATACCTCAACTATGAGAGACAAAATTAGAAAAAAAAATCCACAAAATCACATTGGCTGTTCTTTTTATTTATTTGCCTCACAGTGTGTCTTAATATAATAAAATTAACAATTGGAAAATGACTACAATCCAAAACAACCATTAATTTACCTTCTCCATATCAGCAGTTTTACATAAAAAGTCGATTTTCAAATTTACAGATAAAGTAGACTATTAAAAAAATAACAATAGTACCATGTGATGCTTTAAAGGGCAACTGCAGTCAATACTTTCCCTTTTTGTCTTTATTCATAATTTGTTTTTTTCTTAATTAGATTTCCAGCTTGAGTTTTCAATCTCCAGTAGTCTGTTTCTCAATTATTCATCTGCTCAAGGCTGCGCACCTCATAGTGAAATACTCAGCAACAGGTATGATTTCAGCTTTATCTGTATAGTGTGTGTGTGTGTGTGTGTGTGTGTGTGTGTGTGTGTGTGTGTGTGTGTGTGTGTGTGTGTGTGTGTGTGTGTGTGTGTGTGTGTGTGTGTGTGTGTGTGTGTGTGTGTGTGTGTGTGTGTGTGTGAACGAAGGAGTGGAGAGGGGAAAGGGAGATTCTGTAACTTCTGAGCATGCTAACTGGCTATTTTTCCGTAGTAGGGGAACTGGCCAATTCAATGGAGTCCAGACCCCTACAACCCCTACCAAAGTGTTAAAGGTTGAATATGGAATAGTTTAATAAAAAAAACTATATATTTTTTTAAATAATACTTCCACTGGGCATTTAGATGTGTGCAGAATGAAGGTACCGCATTTCCTTCAAAAGCTATATTTTAATTTAATAATAAAATATTTATTTTGACAACAGGCACTGGGTTAATGTTTACATCTACCCGCCAGTAGAGGGCGCTATGGCCAAATACAGTAAATAGTCTGCTTGGCACAGTCTGCCACTGTGCAAAATGGTGGACTCGGCAAGTCACTCTAAAGTCAAAACTACGACCAATCCTTCATAACGGGACATTTACAATGATTGGAAAATGATTTTGCATGATTGGACAAGGACAAAATTGTTGATGCCCTTGGTCAATGAAAGAAAACCCCACAATGGTCACATAAATAACTTGAATCTGGCAATAATAATAATAAATAAATAAATTGTGAAATTTAACCAATGAAAGTGTAGGAATTGGTAAATTGAGTGCTTTAAGAGCTTAATATATTACCTCTACTTATGACCAATAAGCTGTGATACTTTATGTAAATATAGAGTATCAACCTGCTTGGTCTTTGGATGTTTAATCAGAAGATTCTATGATTTTTTGTTTATTCAGGGATTGTAAACACTTTGTTTTGATTCAGGAAAGAGTCAGGTTTATAAAAGTAAGAATTTATTTTCCAAACAATTAAAACATGACAAGTTAACTAATATTTACTGTGATGGATGGATCTAGGTGGATGAAATGTGATGTATGGTGCCTATATGTGTGAATATGATGCTATCAGCACTCTCGTATCTAAGAGCTGAGTTCTGGCTGTAAAAGGGAAAGAATGTGGTTTGTGTTAAGCTATAAGGTTGATTATTATTAAAAAGGCATCAGACGCTATCTGTGTGTTTGGAAGACCCTCTTCATGGATCCGAAGGTCAGAGAGGTCAGATGACCTCTGGCACCGAGGTTGTAGTATACCATAGCACCGACCCTTCAGTCCAGAGATGTTTTCCGGGTCACAACAGATGGATGGAACCGTTGGCGTCTCGGAGGACTCTTAAGGAGTCGGAACAACATCACCCACCCAAGCCCAATAGTGACTTTTTAAATGACTTCTCCTCATTACTCACCCAGCTCACCTTTTCCCCCAATGTCATCCTGCTTGGTGATATAAATATTCATATGGACAACTTGAACCTCCCCCTCCCCAGAGACTTCTCCTCCTGCCTCAACAGCTTCGATTTTCAAACATATTCTAATTTTCCCACGCATATTAAAGGCCACTCTCTTGATCTAATCTGCTGCTCTGGTCAGATGCAGCAAAGCAGCCCCAGAACATAACACAGCCTCCTCCATGTTTCACAGTAGGGACAGTGTTCTTTTCTTGGTTTGCTTCAATTTCCATCAATGAGCATAGAGCTGATGTACCTTGAAATAAAGTTCCAGTTTTGTCTCAGCTGTCCATCGGACATTCTCTCAGAAGCTTTGTCAACATGTAGATTGGCATATTCCAGTCTGGCATTTCAATGATTTGTTTTCAACAAGGGTGTTCTGCATGGTCGTCTCCGTAGCGTGAATGTGTGTGAATGGGTGAATGGCTGATTAATTGTGTGTGTGTGTGTGTGTGTGTGTGTGTGTGTGTGTGTTTTCCCTCCATGACGGTGATGGTAGGCTATGATTTTTATTGTGGGAAAATATTAGAAAATTAATTTACTTTATTTAAACTTAGTAGTGGGGTGTGTGTGTGTGTGTGTGTGTGTGTGTGTGTGTGTGTGTGAGTGTGTGTGTGTTCCACCGGAGGTCAGCAGAGGGAAGCGTTTCTCTGCTCAGAGACAATAAACACCAGGCGAAGCCCGCCACGGATCTCCAGATCTCCTTCTGAGGGTCTACCATGTAATCTCTGACCTGCAGACCAGACATGTAGCCAGCAGGATGCCGCCCCACTGGATCTCCCGTTTGCTGCTCTTCGTGTCGGTGTGCTCGGTTCGGGGGGCGCTGGCCAAATCCGTACCGGAGCACCCGGCAGCGTTCGGTAAGCCCGCCGTGCAGGGATGCAGCACAATGAGATGGGAGTGGTTGGTGCATTTTATGGCTTTTGTCGACAAGCCGTTGGAGGTGTGCGGCGCTTGTTTCAAGATGGAAGCCGCTGATCGGAGGTTCGTGCTGCTGGTTCCGATCTCAAAGGCGGGTTCTACAGTGGCGGGGAGTCTGGAGGCCTGCTGGAGCTCCTTGTTGTGTTGGTGATCTTGTGGTTTGATGTGAGCTCAGGCCTGGGTCTGCTTCAGTCAGGCCTTCGTGGTTCCGGACTGGTTCCGCTGGTTGTGACGGACCCAGATCAGATGCAGCCAGTGTGATGCAGCAGCAGACTCCTGTGTTGTTCTGCTCCGTTCTGTAGGACATTATATAATAATCTGATCATGCATGGATGGTCCCAGTCTGCAGGGATCCAGTCCTCATACATGCAATAATAAAAACATGCATGACCGGAATACAGCTGCATCAACCTGCACTCAGGTTTTATGGAAATAACTGACCCTGATGAAATACCTCATTCTAATGCTGTTGGTGCGTTGGAATTATGTTTATTTAATCAATAACTTTATTATTCTATTATGTGTTATGTGAAGGTTAATAGCTGAATCAGCTGACAAATAAATAAGTTCAGACTATTATCCAAATGATGCTTTATCTAAAATGGGTTATTTGCAAATTAACATACAAACAAAAAAGTCTGCTTCTCAGTAAACTGATGATTTCATGCTTTAGTTTCAGTTTAAAAAAACTTCATCATCATGTAAGTAATAATTAAAACAGGTTAACTGTTAATTAACAAGAACAATAATGAAGAATGGACTAATTCCGAATTATTTATCATCAGCATATATGATTTGATGCTTCAAACCAAAGCTATATGCTCTGTTGGGTGTTCCACCCAGCATTCAGTTTTGCTCAGTTTTGTCTAGAGGAGTCTGGAAAAGGGAGAATAAATAATGTACCGCAATGTACTTTGAGGGCAAAATTATCACAATAATCATTTTAATTCAGTACAAACAGTGTAAATAGTGTTTACCGGTGATGTAAGAAAATATTGACATGGCAATATATCGTGATTTTTTCCAGCAATATTATATCGATATTCAAAAGTCGTGTATCTAATTTTTGGAAGAATTTACATGCAAACATTTGTGTATTTTCTTTTCTTTTGGTGCAATTCAAATATCGGCCACTAGTTGCAGCCATTTGCAATGGGTTTTGTTTCCACCATTGAAATGTAAATCTGGGGTTTGCATTTTGTTAGCCCCAAGACTGCCTGTGTGTTGGGGTTTACCCCGGGGGACGAGAGGGTAGCTTCCCTGCGCTTTTGGGTCGAGGAACGGGTCCTGACTGTTGTTTGTGCTTATGGGCCAAATATCAGTTCAGAGTACCCACCCTTTTTGGAGTCCCTGGGACGAGTGCTTGATAGTACTCCATCAGGGGACTCCATTGTTCTGCTGGGGGACTTCAATGCTCACGTGGGAAATGACAGCATGACCTGGAGGGGTGTGATTGGGAGGAACAGCCCGCCTGATCTGAACTCGAGTGGTGTTTCGTTATTGGACTTCTGTGCAAGCAGCAGTTTGGCCATAACGAACACCATGTTTGAACATAAGGATGTCCATCGGTTCACTTGGTACCAGGGCAGCCTAGGTCGCAGGTTGATGATAGACTTTGTAGTCGTATCATCTGACCTGCGGCCGTATGTTTTGGACACCCGAGTGAAGAGAGGAGCAGAGTTGTCAACTGACCACCACCTGGTGGTGAGTTGGACCAGATGGCAGGGGAAGATGTCGCGTAGACCTGGCAGACCCAAATGCATAGTGAGGTTCTGCTGGGAACGCTTGGCAGAAGAACCTGTCAAGATGGTCTTCAACTCCCACCTCCGGCAGAGCTTTGACCGTGTCCCGAGAGCAGTGCGTTACATCGACTCCGAGTGGGCCTTTTTCCACTCTGCGATTGTTGAGGCGGCTGTTGCTAGCTGTGATCGCAAGGTGGCCTGTGCCAGTCGTGGTGGCAACCCACGTACCCGCTGGTGGACACCAGAGGTTTGGGGAGCCGTCAGGCTGAAGAAGGAGGCCTACAGGGCGTGGCTGGTCTGTGGGTCTCCAGAGGCAGCAGGCGGGCACTTGAAAGCCAAGCGGGGTGCAGCAGTGGCAGTTGCCGAGGCAAAATCTCGGGCGTAGGAGGAGTTTGGTGAGACCATGGAGAAAGACTATCGATCGGCGCCAAAGAGATTCTGGCAAACTGTCCGGCGCCTCAGGAGAAGGAGGCAGCAACTCGCTCACGCTGTTAACAGTGGGGATGGGGAGCTGCTGACGTCAACTGGGGCTATAGTCGGGCGTTGGAAGGAAAACTTTGAGGAGCTCCTCAATCTCACCTATGCGCATTCCGAGGAGGAGCCAGAGCTGGGAGACCTGGGGATGGACTGTCCAATCTCTGGGGCAGAAGTTGCTGAGGTAGTCAAACAACTACACAGCGGCGGATCCCCAGGGATGGATGAGATTTGTCCTGGGTATCTCAAGGCTATGGATGTTGTAGGGCTGTCATGGTTGACACGTCTCTGCAATATCGCGTGGTCATCGGGGCAGTTCCTGTTGAGTGGCAGACCGAGGTGGTGGTCCCCATCTTTAAGAAGGGTGACCTGAGGGTGTGTTCCAACTATAGGGGGATCACACTCCTCAGCCTCCCTGGAAAGGTCTACTCCAAGGTACTGGAGAGGAGGGTCCGATCGATAGTTGAATCTCAGATTGAGGAGGAGCAATGTGGTTTTCGTCCTGGCCGTGGAACTGTGGACCAGCTCTACACCCTTGCAAGGGTGATGGAGGGGGCATGGGAGTTTGCCCAACCAATCCACATGTGCTTTGTGGATTTGGAGAAGGCTTATGACCGTGTCCCCAGGGGCACCCTGTGGGGGACGCTCCAGGAGTATGGGGTGGGTGGCTTTCTGTTAAGGGCCATTCAGTCCCTTTACCAGAGGAGCGTGAGTTTGGTCCACATAGCCGGTAGTAAGTCAGACCTGTTCCCGGTGAGGGTTGGACTCCGCCAGGGCTGCCCCTTGTCATCGGTTCTGTTCATAACCTTTATGGACAGAATTTCTAGGCGCAGCAGTGGTGTGGAGTGTGTCAAGTTTGGTGGCAGGAGAATCTCGTCTCTGCTTTTTGCGGATGATGTGGTCCTCCTAGCTTCATCCAGCTCTGACCTTCAGCTCTTGTTGGGTAGGTTCGCGGCCGAGTGTGAAGCGGCTGGGATGAGGATCAGCACCTCCAAATCTGAGACCATGGTTCTCGACCGGAAAAGGGTGGCTTGCCAACTCTGGGTCGGGAGAGAGGTCCTACCTCAAGTGGAGGAGTTTAAGTATCTCGGGGTCTTGTTCACGAGTGAGGGTTGGAGGGATCGGGGGATTGACAGGCGGATTGGTTCAGCGTCTGCAGTGATGCGGACGCTGAGTCGATCTGTGGTGGTGAAGAGGGAGCTGAGCCAGAAAGCCAGGCTCTCGATTTACTGGTCGATCTACATCCCAATCCTCACCTATGGTCATGAGCTTTGGGTAATGACCAAAAGAACGAGATCGCAGACACAAGCGGCTGAAATGAGTTTCCTCCGTAGGGTGGCCGGGCTCAGCCTTAGAGTTAGGGTGAGGAGCTCGGACATTCGGGAGGGACTCAGAGTAGAACCGCTGCTCCTCCGGAGTCAGTTGAGGTGGCTTGGGCGTCTGGTCAGGATGCCTCCTGGACGCCTCCCTGGGGAGGTGTTTCGGACATGTCCTGCCGGCAGGAGGCCCCCGGGTCGACAGAGGACACGTTGGAGAGGTTACTTCTCCTTTCTGGTCCGGGAACGCCTTGGGGTCCTGCCGGAGGAGCTGGTGGAGTTGGCTGGGGAAAGGACGGTCTGGAGCTCCCTAGATGGGATGCTGCCCCTGCGACCCGGACCCAGATAAGCGGAAGAAGACAACGACGACGAAATGTAAATCCCTCTGTTATGGGTCAGAGACCTCATGTTAATCATACAAAGTATCAGTATAGACTGTTTATTCAATTTTCCTACAATAAATTCAGTCAAAAAATCTCTAATATTGTCTGACTGAATGTATCGTGATGTATCGTATCGTCTCCCCCGTGTTGTGTTGCGTATCGTATCGCCAGAATTTCACCAATACACATCCCTAATGTTTATTGTAATACACTTATTATAAAAACATAGACCCAAAATAACCTATTTATAAGAAAATAATAAGCATATTCTCCACCCTTTCACGTTATGCATTCAGACTAGAAGGGGTACACTTGGTCCTGCACAGTTACTTTCTTCTAGTCCTCTGGAGGAGGGTGAGAAGTCCCACGGTGCCTTTGACTGCTCTGAGTGAGGAAATCCTCTCCAAGCACAAGAGTCTTTATTGTTCCATTAATAGATGACAGCATTCATCCATGCTCAATAGACATGCACACACACACACACACACACACACACACACACACACACACGCGCGCACGCACACACACACACACACACACACGCACACGCACACACACACACACACACACACACACACACACACACACGCGCACACACACACACACACACACACACGCACACGCACACGCACACACACACACACACACACACACACACACACACACACACACACACACACACACATTTGCATGCTGTTCATATAGCTGCCATCAGAGCAACTGCTGCTGTCTCAGGACTCTAGCTGGAGAGCAGAGCTCCACGGGAACTGAGCTGGGTAACAACAAGGCAGCTTTTGGAGAGTCAGCATGTATCCATGGAAACGGTGTGACCCACATCCACCCCGTCCAAGAGGCGGGATGAGAAACAAAATGTTTCCGGGCTGAAAACACGAGGATGAGATTTGTCTGAGATGGTCTCAAACATCCTCTTCATCAGGACGTAATCCATGGCAGCTGGAGGAGACAGCAGCAGAGAGGCTGGACACAAACATGATAAATAAACCAGTCACTTAAATGTTCCAATCATCATCGAGATGCTCCTCGTCGCTTCATCTGCTCAGATCCCAACATGGATCTGTGTTTTCATTAGCTTGTTAGCTAAACGGATAACTCTTACTCCATCTTAAAGACTTCAGATAACAAGAATCCTGACCTCTGACCTTCGGGATCATTTAGGATGGGATTATTATGGAGCAGCTTTATGATTTTGTACTGTGAACCAACCAAGGTGACTAGTCACCACCTGAAACTAACACTTCAAACAGATGATAGGGGATTACAGCAACCCAAGGCTCTGTTAGGTGTGAATACTTGTAATTCCTGAAATATTTAGTATACAGTAAACCCAAACATCATGATGAATTAACAAATTACTCTTTCATCTTTTTTGCTTCAGAAATAGTTTTATTTTTTTGTCTTTCAGAGGTACAAATAAAAGTCCAGGTGTTTGACAACAGCAACCTGTCTCCGTTAGCGGACGCTCAGATAGCCGTCCAGGGGAATCAGACGTTCCTGGCGTCCAGCCGAGCAGGCAGCGATGGCGTGGTGAGGGTCAGCTTCCCGTACCGAGTGGGCACGTGGGTCATCATCACCGCCTCCAAACAGGATTACATCACCAACTCGGTGCCGTGGCACTCCAACCGCATCCCCTGTAGGTCCTCAGTGTTCCTCCGGCACGCCTCAACAGCCCCTCCTCCTGCGGAGTCAGTTAGGATGTGTTTCACATGCAGGAGGCAGATAGGTTAACAATTTAACTGTTAGATAAAGATTAAAAACTACATTTCTCAGAGATAAATGAAAGAAGCGGCTGTAAATGATTCATCAGCAGTCACAGCTGCTTCACATCACATTTTTCACAGTTTGTTCTTAAACAGAAAATCTAAAAATAGAAGCAGGGGCATGAGCGACGTTGACTTAGTGGATTTTTTTGCAGTTCAGACTTCAGTTTGATGGTTTCAACTAAATCACTTGTTACACCAAAGGCTGTTACTCTTGTGTGCTTTTTGTTGCTTTAAATGGAGTTAAAACAGGTCTCAGATTCAGCACAGGCCAAACATTATACAAGTATATCATATTATAGAGTAAACGGTGGCGCCCCCAGAAAGGTTTCATAGGGGTGGCCATGCGGCCAGAGAAGATTTTGGAGTGGCACACCAAATTGATCCTCGTAGTAAATCTGAGGGGGTTCAGCCTGTAGTGATGCAATAAATTCTTTTTTATATATTTTCATTAAAAAACAACATTAATGTAACTTATTAAAGAACGCTGGTCTTCCCTGTGTGGACAGTGGGGTGCCCAGCAATTTTCTAGGGGGTGGCCACCCCTTGGGGGAGCCTCTGAGTATAAAGGAGTTCTGTTCTGACAAAAAGAAAAAAAAAACCTTAAAGGTAAAATTGATGAGAACTGTTTGGGGGTTAGGCTGTGAAATGTGCTGACGTTATTTTGTAACTTCCTGTTTCAGTGTACGCGTCGGTCAGCCTGTACCTCCTGGCTGAGAGACCTGGAACTCTCATCCTGTACGATGACGTCCTGCAGGTGCTCTCCGGGTCTCCAGGTGATCAGATGTTCTAAACAGTCAGGAGCTCTCTGATGCTAATGGGACTATTAAGTGATGATTCCTCTGGTCTGGTCTCTGTTCTGTAGCTTAAACATGTCCATGACCGTATTATTCCACTCTGCTGTGTTGCTTTATGTCCTCTCTTCCCCCGTCCTCCTCCTGGCTGCTGCATGTTTTGGTCTTTTTAAACTTATACAATTCAGACTCTTGGTTTTTCAGGAGCTCACAACCAGCCACTGGTTCAGCTCCAGAGGAAGTCCATCCAGCTCCCTCCCAGCTCCAACTACACCACGCTGTCGGCCGCTCTGACCACCGCCAGGAGTCAGTATGAGATCGGTGGATTCCCGTTCCTCCTGGGCCAGGAGACCAACAGTTCAGGTTGGACACACCTGGAATGTATTTGATGATGGAAAGTCTTGACACGACAAAATCTATATGTGTTCCACACATGTATGTGCAGAAACGTAAAGGGGCATAAGTCAGTGCGCATATATGCAAATATCTCCAGGAAGGTAAAGATGATTTTATTCTGCAGTTAGTGATTAGTACGTATATCTTTAACATCTTTTAGACCACAGAATCAAGCTCTGCGTGTTACAAACCTCCAGATTTTTGGTGTAGAAAACAATCCAAAGCAAACTTTAGTCAGATCTGCGGAGGAAGTGACTAAAGTTGAAAGTGCGCCTGCTGCTGACTGCTTCTCATGTTGAACCAAGGAGCATGACCCATGGATGGAGGGTGATTGCTCAGTAATGAGAGGAGCTGATGCTGATGTCGGGGACTTGTTTCTGGGTGTCATTCTCGACAGCTCCCTTTCTTTTCAGGCTCACATTAATAACTTAATTCGGTCAGCATACTTCCATCTACGTTCCATAAACCGTCTTCGTCCCTCACTGACCCCTCACACTGCCGCCATTCTCGTCCACAGCCTCGTCACCTCCCGTCTCGACTATTGCAATTCACTTCTTTATGGTCTCCCCAACAAACTCCTTCATAAACTGCAACTGGTCCAGAATTCAGCAGCCCGTATTATCACCAGAACCCCTTCCTTTCACCACATCACGCCGGTTCTCCAGCAGCTCCACTGGCTCCCAGTTAAATTCAGGCCCATCTTCAAAATTCTCCTCCATACATTCAAAGCAATCCACAACCTCTCTCCTCCATATATCTCAGACCTTATAAGTATTCACACCCCGTCCCGTTCACTCAGATCTTCTTCTTCCATCCATCTTGCGGTTCCTTCTGCCCGTCTCGCTACCATGGGGAGCAGAGCTTTCAGCCGCTCTGCTCCTCGACTCTGGAACTCACTTCCCCCAGACATCAGGAACATCGACAGTTTTACCCTTTTCCAATCAAAACTCAAAACACATATGTTTAAATCTGCCTACAACCTCTGATTTTATTGAAATGTTTCTCTCTGTTTTTTCTTCTTTGGGTTTTATTATTGTTTTATTGTATTTTATTACGTGTTTTGTGTAAAGTGACCTTGGGTGTCCTGAAAGGCGCTTTGAAATAAAATGTATTATTATTATTATTATTATTACTTGTCTCCTTCAGGTGTAGACACCGGATGGGCCGACCTGACAGCACTCGCCGTCGTCAGCATCCAGCTCTTTAACAGAGATGGCACCTCCATCAACGTCTCGGATCCGATCCACGTCTCAGTGCCGCTGCCATCTGACACTCGTAACAGGATGGCCACCAGCATCCCCGCCTGGCTCTACCAACCAAAGACGGGTGAGGGAACCACATCAGTCATGGATTGCGGTTATATAACACTCCAGATTTGGATCAGAGCTGATAAAATATAAATCTTTAGAAATGTTCTAGTCGGAATTATGTGTTGGTTATTTCAGGACTGTGGGTTCGAAACGGGACGGGCTATATCAAAAAGGATGGGACACAGTTTGTGTGGAACGTCGTGGTTCCTCAGATGGGATACTGGTTGGCCGCCTTTCCTTCGTCTTCAGGTACGGAGCTCCAGTCTGGATCCGATCAGCGGCAATGCTGTTGGGTCAGAACACCTGCCTGCACACGCGTGAAGTCGTTTCACAGAACATTTACATGATGGAGCCTCTAGCTCAGGGGTGTCAAACATGCGGCCCGCGGGCCGAATCCGGCCCGCAAGCGGGTTAAATCTGGCCCGCGAGATGGTTGTGTAATCTTTATTTTCATACTTTACAATGTAGAGTGAAAATAAACTTATCTTTGTGAGCAAGTTTTCTCTGTAATGAGTATAAATAAAACAAAGCTGCGCTCAAGGCTCACACAAGAACTTGAATCACATCCTGAAGTTGGCCGCCACTCAGGATGTGACTTCTGATGTTGATGTGCTGGTGAAAGCCAAAAGATGTAAAGTAAAATGAGTCGAATATACTTTAAGTGCTGCATGAAACTGATCTAGCCATGTGATCTGTAAGCTCTTTGAATCACTAAGGAATGTTTTTTATTAGATTTTTTTTTTCTTCAAATTTTCAAGTACACTTCAGGTGTTGTACTTGTACTACACTGTCCTCAGGCTCCAGCCTTGTTTTATATTGATTGTATTAAAACAAAGAAAACAATCTGAAGTTGTTTTTAATTTACCGGTCCGGCCCACTTGGGACTAGATTTCCCTCAATGTGGCCCCTGAGCTAAAATGAGTTTGACACCGCTGCTCTAGCTGAAGCTGGTTGCTGATCGTTTTCCTGTTTAAACGTGTCTCTTACACTGGTAGAGAGAACAGAAACGACTCCTGAGTCTGGCTCTTGCTGATGTGATGAAGGTGGAACATGTGAAGACGACTGATGACTCGTGAATTGTTTTGCAGGTTTTGGTTTATCTCATCCAGGTCTGAGGGACATCACCACCTACCACACCCTGTTCCTGCTCTCCATCCTGGCTTCTCTGGCCCTGCTGGTCCTGATCCTACTCTGTGTGTTGCTCTATTACTGCCGGTGAGGAGGCTCACACGTTTCGCTGCTTATTAACTCAAAACTTGATTCTTTACCTTCTCTGTTCTCCTTCCAGACGGAGGTGTTTGAAACCTCGCCGGCATCAGGGAAAGCCCCACACCTCCAATCTGAATGGAGCCAAGAGGGACCAGGGCACGTCGACTTCACGTCTGAATCTGATCTGCGGAGGCCATGTTGAATCGGGACCGTCCAATGACAAATCCGACTTGTCCCCTTCCCGGGACTACCAGAGTTCAAGGGAGGACTTAACGAAACACATTCCAGCTCACATGCTCCGACACACGAAGGGAAAGCATCCCTCAGGTTCTCAGCGAGGGGAGAGCTTCCCCATGAAGGTCACGCGAGCTACAGAGACCAATAACCTGGACAACCCCCTTCTTCACGAAGACTACAACCGGAGCTACAGCCCCAAGGACGGCAAAGAGTCTGAATACCACAGACACCACAGTGCCAATGACAATCGAGGATATGCGTCTGATCCACCGTCCCCGCCTCGCTTCCAGGGCTACGTGCCAAGTCAGTCGGACAAACCTCCAGAATATTCCGCTGCAGCTGCAGACAGCATTGCCCGTCCCACCTCCCTCAACACTCAACCGGGTCAGATCATCTTCTGCAGCTCCATCGACCAGATGAAAGAGAACATGTACCGAAGCATGGTGCCGACCCTGGTCATCCCGGCCCACTACATGCGCCTGCCACCAGAGTTTTCTGGCAAGGACGGTAAGGACCAGAAGGACCAGGATAAAGATGGGATGCAGATGGGAGGAAGCCAACAGCATCACCACCACTCCCAGAAACAAGGCCAGCTGCAGCAAGGTGGAGCCCAAGGGGACGACTCAGAGGAGCCGAGCTGGGCATCTGACTCGTCCGGCGGAGCCGTGACCATCCCTGTGCTCTTCAACGACTCCACTATGGCCCAGATGAATGGAGAACTTCAGGCTCTGACTGAGAAGAAGCTGCTAGAGCTGGGTGTCAAGCAGCACCCGCGGGCCTGGTTCATCTCCCTGGATGGACGTGATAACGCTCATGTTCGCCACTCTTATATAGATGTTAGCAATGACCTAAGTGGTGGTGGGTTGGGATGTGGCTCCAGCAGCACTCAGCGAGACGTCAACCTCGAGCCACCTCTTGTGTCCCAAGATCGAAAGTCAGCCGCTAACCGGAAAGGTAAGGATGAGCGCTGGGGGACAGGAGGACGGAAGAGCCACGGTGTCAGCAGCAGCGGGAAGAATTATTCCAAACTGGCGTATCCCGACCACAGCGAGCCAAGCAGCAGCGAAGGACGCCCTGTATCGCCTGAAGAAAACTCCCTAACTCCTCTTCTGGACGAAGGACCGTCTTCACATGGATCCACCAACACCAGAAGGGGACGCAGCCGAGGCAACAGCAGTCGCAGCAACAACAGTGAGAACCGCCGAGACTCCACGACCAGTCCTGAGGATGATCCCGACGACAAAGATGAGAACAAGAAGAGTCCATGGCAGAAGATCGAAGACCGGCCTCTCATGGTCTTCCACCCCAGGAAGTGATCTTTGTAAACTTGGAGAACTCTGATCTTTTTAACAGTCCAAGAACTGAAGAGTGAGAATGATCACAATAAGCACAGACTGCTGGAGTGGTCCGTTTCCTGGTTGCTGGTGGCGTTTCTGGTTTGGTGCGTTTGTGTTCCACCGTTCGTTCTGATTTCTTCTGCATCCGTCCTGTTCATCGTGCATTCTGTCACATCACTGAGCCTCCACCTGAGCCGACACTTTACTGACTGGAAACAGCCATAAGATAGAGCAGAACATGGGAACCGTCTGGATCATTTGTTAACTGACTGGTAATTAACAATGACTTTTGACATGAAGGATTTTTTAATGGGATTTATTAGCTTGTAGCTGAAATCAACCCCTTTTCTCTCTACTATTTTTTACACGGAAGTTCCCTGCTTTGTCCCAAATTGTAATTAGAAAATCCCTTTTTGTCCTGCAGAACATGAAAACCGTGGCAGTTGTGGAATGAATGGATGTTTTCTGCTAAGGTCTCAGCACCGCTTGGAGAGACGTTCATGACTTCTTCCTCATTATTTACTGTGTTAACGTGCTGTCGTTTGTTATTTAGATCAAATCTGTGTGTAATCTTAATCATGTTTTCTGCCAGTGACAAACTTTGCAATTCTGCCAAAAGTTTAGATTTCTGCGGCTTTCCGCCAGCAGAGACTTCTTGGTGTAAATAGATGCCCCGTTGTTTAAGAGCGTGTTTGTTTGAGGAAGATGCATGAGGATGAATGTGTGGAGCTAGCAGAAGGCACCTCGACCCCCATGTCTTTGGGTTCTTAGTCGACTCTTATTCAAGAAAACCACTGATTTACTTGATGCTGGCCGGCTGAGGTCCAGACGGTGGTTTGTCGACGAGCCTGAACCACGTCTCTCCTGTAAGTGCCTTCTATCACAGAGGACCGAGTGACAGGCAGGGCCTTTACACAGTCTGAGGAGATCAACAGGCACCAATAAGCACACTGCATGGAGCTACCATCCCTCTGGGGAGCATGCCAGCCCTTGCTGACAGGTGGCTAGGTCGTCCTTACAGTTACACTTCTTCTATAGACCCTGTTTTCCAGAAAATCTGTAAATGCTATAAGATTTTATGTGTACATGTGCATGTAATGTAGAATAGGATGTTTCTAATTCAGCCTTTTTGGAAACAATTAGGATATTTGGCACTAAATATTATTGACAGTTGCACAGAACTGTGTTGCCAAATGGACTTTCTATAAAGAAATGACTTTTCCCTGAGAGATAGATTGGTTTTTAAGTTGGGTTGTGTAAACCATGGTCAGGTTTTTACCTGCAGCAAAGTGATCTCAGTGATCAGGAGGAAATCTCAAACAGGAGTCAAGCTAACAGCTTTTAATGCAGGCGTTTTCTACACATTTTCATTTATCATTAATTGTTCATTGTGTCACAACTAGCTGTTGGCAGGAGCTAGCCATTAGCAGAACTCTGACTAGACTTTGGCAAGACCTGCTAGCCCTTAGGGACGCTGACTAGCCGTTAGCTTCCTCAGGTTTCATGCTGATCAGAAATAATCATCAGAACCCAAAGTAACATTCTTAACCGTCTCTTTGATGTTGCTGTTATAAATCTGACTTCCAGTCGTAAATGTTTACAACAACACTGGCCAACATGCTCCTGCTCCAGCATCACTGCCGTCCATTCATCAGCAGCCGTGAACTTAACGAAAACTCAGCTTTTCTGTTAGTTTCACAACAATAGAGCTCCGGACGTCACGTGACTCTCAGAGAGTAGACGCCATGTTGGCAGGCAACAAAGGTAAACAAAATGAATGGGGTCGGCTTGGATTTTACTCCGTTGGGAGTTTACTTCACACTATAAAACCCAAGAAATAGTTTTATATCGTCAGAAATTAAATAGACTAAACATCTCCGACTCTTACCGTGCCCCTGGGATACTTTTTAAAAACGCCAGAAGCTGTCGGAGCGGACCTCTTACCGGATTTGAGAAGCCCTGACATTTATAATTTATAAAACTAATTAAACAAAAACACAAATAACATAGATTTACTCGTAAGTAGTTTAAATAGAGTGCTGTGCAAACTTTGAATGTATAAACTGAACGCCAAGAGAAATCACTAGTCTGATTTTTTTCCGTGAATAAAATAAATATGTCAGGCAGGAGCGTCTCAGGATCAGTCTGAGATCTGTCTCGGTGAGACAGATAATAGCAATCCAAAGTGCTTTTTATGTGTGATCGGACAATTGATCAACCATTGCTTAAAAATTCAATACAGCTTAGCCGGTTAATTGCTGTGATCATAAGACACGTAAACGGCAGCACGCAGAAATCCCACGGAAATGTTTTACGTGATGTTTACTTGTTGCTAGTAATAAGACAGAAAAAGCCACGCCAAAATAAGTTTAGGAAGCCCACTAAGAATCATAATAAAAGCATTTAAAATAAATACCATACACAGTTGAGGAAACGTTGGTTTAAGTACCTGATATGAAGCGGTCGCTGCATAAGCGAAAACCTTTACTCTCGGGATCCCACAGTTTCATTTTAGCCCAGTCACTAGCGCGTTTTATTACAATGATCCAACGTTTGCGGCGTTCCGGATCTTGGGGAATCCTGTAGATGGCTCATTCCTTATGTCGTCTGCGTCTGTTCTGCATCCTGGGGCACAACAGGAATCTACCATATTTCCCGTTTGAGTTTTCTGACAACATCAAATAGTTCAACTGCGGGCTTCTGCCTGCCAATATGGCGCCGTTTCGATTTGAGCTGTTGCATGCCGGGAGAAGTGACGTCAATTCCCGGAGCTCTGTTGACTGAAGTGAAAATGCCACGCTGTAATGTTTTCATGTTGGCTTGCTGCTCATGTGCCACAAACCTACAAGACAAACTAAAAATGTGAGTTAATCAAGTGTGAAGACTATAAGGCTGGATTTCTGTGTCCACTGCTGTAAATGTAAAAGCTTTTGGACTAGTTATGAATTTAAAAGTTGTGAAATTGTGGCTGATTTTCTTTTACACAAAAAGGTGTGTGTTCCTCAGAAGGTTTTGTGAACTTTGTGATTCACCCTGAGCTGGTTCCCGAGAAGGCACTTTAAATGACTTTGTTGGATTTTATTTGTGTTGATGAAGGTGAGGATGAGGAGGAACTGAAGGCCTTCACTCTGTGCTGTGAACCATTTCCATCACTAACCTGGTCAGTTGTTTGTAAACTGAAAATTGTTTCTTTCTGTACACGAAAGATTATGGAAATAAATTTGTTCCCACAGTCTGTCTTTGTTTTACATTTTTTATTTCAGTGCAATTCTGGTTTTACCTCAATATAATGGAAAAGATAAGAAATACATAAACCATGTTGAAACAACATATTAAGTTTTTTACTTTACTTTTTAAGCAGGATAATTTGTTAATGTGCTTATTGTTAAATATTTTGTCAATCTGTCTCCGGACAGAAAAATAAATAGAATGTTTGTATTAGGCTACAGCAAGCTAAGATCACAACAAAAATGTGAAAAGAGTTTGCAAAAATACATTTCTTTCAGCAATTTATCTTCTACGTTCTGTAAAATGGGATTTTAAAACACCACGTTTGATTATTAGTAGTAGTTACCACTGTTTGTTTTACAAAAAAGAGCAGTAAGACTCATCAAGAATAATTGTTACAATGATCACTCTAATCCATTATTTATACAATATAAAGTGCTTAAATTTTATGATTTGGTGGAGTTTAAAATATTGCATATAATGTATAAAGCTTGCAAAAATATCTTGCCCATAAATGTAGTCATTGTTCATAAGAAGGGAAAGCAGTTATAATTTAAAACGACCTGAGGTGTTGAAAAACAGTGGCGCAGTGGTTAAGGGCTGTTGCCTCGCAGCGAGAAGGTCTTGTGTTCGCGTCCGGTCCTGGGGCTCCTCTGCGTGGAGCTTGCATGCTCTATCCGTGCGCTACCTCCTTCACATTTATTCATTATGTGGTCCTGTGTTTTATTTACATTCTAAGTACAACTGTTGTTTTTATTGAAAATTCTTTGTTAATAATGAAGCTGTTTATGTTTTTATTTTGTAAAAAGGGGCAAAGCTTCATAAGATGTATTCTTCTGTCTGCTCCTTTTCATTCATGGATTTTGGATAGAATTTTATGCATATTGATTTTATTCTGATCTGTTCTTTTACCTTTTTTTTCTTTGAATTCAATAAAGAAATAATAAAAACAACAACAACAACAACAACAACAACAATAATAATAATAAGAAGAAGAATAAGAATAAGAATAAGAATAAGAATAACCGGAACTAAGTAGTTTGAACTGACGCCCTCTCTTGGTGGCTGTGGTGTACTCCACCATCTGAATCATACCACGTGCCCAGATCACGTGCCAGTGTGTCATGTGACTCTAATTTTATAGTTTAATCGGTGTTTTTGTTGTACTTGGGGTCTCGGGGGATGCAGTAAGAAACATTTAATTATTTTCTATTTAATTTTTCACCAACTATGTTACAACCAGAGTCCATTTTCATTGCAGAACGGTTATTCATTGGAGCTAGCTTAGCTTTTAGCCACCAAGCCTGCTAAGTTAATCAGTTTGTTTGAATTCTAGAAGCTAACGCTAGCTAGCGTCTGCTCCTGGTCTCGTCCTTCAGCGGATCATTCTTAAACGGCTTATCTATGAAAGCGGCTATCTATGACAGAATTAAGTCATCTAATTAGTTTTGTGTTTTTTTTTACAGGTTGTGAGAGGAGAATGCTGCACAGTGGTCGTTGATAACAGCCTCTCTCCTTCCTTTCACAATCTAGCTGAAATGGTAACAAAAACACAAAATCGGGTTATAAAATGTGCTTCTGTACAGTAAAACTGTCAACAACTCTTAAACATTGATAGGTGCAGCTGAAGCAGAGGGCAGCACCTGCTTTTCTTGCTTTTACGAGTTAATATAACTGAGTTTCCTGTAAACCTTATTTAAACAAAAGCACATAAATTAGATTTCCTCAAGTGGGATGTTGCGTCACCCGTCCTTGCTGAACTAGCCTAGTGAACTAGACCAAATTCTTTGCAAAGTTTGTTAAATAATAGTTAAATAATATATTTATTTAGTCTGGCTTGCCAGGCTACTGCTGAGCAGCAAAATACCTTATTATAGCCAGTGAACTTGCCACGAAGTTAATAACGTACAGCTGAAGTATTTTCATACGTTCTTACATATTGGGGAAACCCTACTCTTGGTCTCTTTTAGTTGTTAAGGTCTGAAACCCACATCCTGTATTTAAGGTCGTGGTTTGTTTGAAGCAAAAATCCACTTTATCTGTAGTAATATTTACAGAGCTGCTGAGCACACTGAGGTGTCGAACAGAACAGCATGATAACACACGCTGGTATGTTTTCAGAGCACATTTCAGCACATCTAGTTTGACTTTAGCTGGTTGTGTTCAGACTCTGCGGATGGGGTTCCTGGCTGTAGTTCTGCTGGGCCTGAGCTCGGCATTGGTCTGTCCTGATGGAGGGACGTGTGAGGACAAAGAGACGTGCTGCAAGAACAACTCAGGAGGATACGGCTGCTGTCCTCTGCCACATGTGAGCTGCTGACTTGTATCCTACTAATGTAGCATGTAAATGTTGTATTCTGAAGTTTTGAGATTTTTGTTAAACTTTTTGATGAACAGTACAGACATTTGTACAGATGAGAGGGACCATGACCTTCATCTGACTTGTTTTTACCCTGCCATTTGTCCCGTTTGGTTTATTAAATGTATTTTATCCTTGTTGCATCCACATGCAGGCAGAGTGTTGTTCTGATCATCTCCACTGCTGCTATGAAGGGACGCTGTGTGATCTGATCCATCAGAAATGTGTGAATAAAACTGTATCCCTCCCCTGGGTGAGGCGACTCCCAACCAAGCAGAGTCCACCTGTCCCTCAGGTAACACAGGTTATGTCATACTTCTACCTGTGTCTTTTTGTCCCTTTGGACCTTGTAGTTTTATTTTTTGTTAATAAGGTCCGAGGTGAGCCTGAGGTTATCTCCCCCATTCCCGATATCCTCCTGTCACCTTTTGTCATCTGCAAAAATGGGAGCGGCGTGAATATTGGCACGCCCACAGTTCAGCCTGGTTCTGTTGTGTTTTTTTATGTCAAATCTTGGACGGGTTGTTCTGAAACTGGGATTTCGTTTGTGTCTGGGCGCTGGCTCAAACAACAAAGATTCTGATTTAGAGAGAGTCTGACCTGTAAACACTGTTAGCTCTAACGCTGTCTTGGTGTGTTTTTAAACCAAAGTTCAGAGTTTACTGACTGAACACACACACACACACACACTTATGCCGGAAAACATCAGCTGAAACTAGTGATGTACCGATATGAAATTTTTGGGCCGTTACCGATATTAATATCACTGTTACGGCCGATAACCGATATTTGCCTATATCGATATACTGACATTAATACTTCTAAAATCAGCAGATTTTGTATAGATTGAAACTGATTAAAGCTGAATTTACGTTATTATTTACACGCACCACACACATTTATTCTTCTGAGATAATTACAATCACTGTCACATGACTAAACAAATACACATCACCCCCCTCGCCCCCTGAAACAGAGAAGCAAATAAGATGGAAAAAATATCGGTTGTTAACTTTGGTTCAGTTTTAATTATTGGACCGATACTGATATGTTTGAAAATGACTGACGTTGGCCGATACCGATATTGATGCCGATATATAGTGCATCCCTAGCTGAAACGTCTTGGCGTGATTGTGAACGTTCTTTGAGTCTGCTGACACTTGTTAACCCTGCAGATGAAGTCATGCGATGCATTTTGTGCAGATTAAGGGCGTTTTCTGATCATTTTTGATAGATTTAGATTGTGTTTCAGTATGATTCTGTGTGCATGACTTCGCTTTAAAATGCAGCAAAACACAAGTCCCGTGTAATAGCAGCTAGTGTAAAAACTTGGTGTTGCTGCTCTTTTTCCTTTGATGTCATCAGGAGTTTTCAGGACTTGTTACGTACGTTTACAAGAACAGCAGCTGAATGTTCAGCCGGCTCATACAATTATTCTCTGGTTGTTTCTCTGTGTTCCTGTTGGCTGTGGGATGGATCAGCGTGGAGGCAGCGTCAAGGCCGTCTTGTGTCCAGACCACGAGTCAGAGTGTCCAGATGACACCACATGCTGCCAGCTCCCTGACAGCTCCTGGGGCTGCTGTCCACTACCAAAGGTTTACCAAACTTAACATCTTTTCTCCTAAAATCCCAGTCTCTCCATGAAGAACATGGCTGTGTGTTCTGTTGGGCAGACTCTTGCTGTGGGTCTGAAACTGGAAAAGATGAACATCACAGAGGAGATGAAATACGTCCTCCGGTCTCTGATGGTTCTTCTCATTTATTCAGAAAGCCCAGATTGGAACAGACTCCAGGACAAAGCCTGTCAGCTCCTTACAAACAGACGGTTGAGTGACTGTTTTTGTTCCTAAAACAGTCACTCAAAACAGTTTAAACCACTAAAATATGCTAAAGCAAAACAACCTTTTCAGGAGGAGGGCGGGTTTTAAAGACCAAGAATGATTTGAACTCATTCACTGCCAGCGTTTTTACTGATTTTTGAGGAGTCACAGAACATTGTGCTCTATGATCATGTAAACGCCAAAACTACCAAAAGGAAGAGTAGACTCACTCCGTACATCAGGAAGAATCCACGTGTTTCTAGCGTTATCCGTTCTTTAAAGGGACTTTATGGAGTTTTGAATTTTTATGCTCGCGATTGCCCCCTCAGGCCAAAAGCGTAACGGCAGCTTCAATAGTAGGCTCGTGCACGAGGCGTGCATGCTGTACGTGCACACTCAACAAAAATAACAGCTGAGACAGTCCCTTGTGTGTGTGTGTGTGTGTGTGTGTGTGTGTGTGTGTGTGTGTGTGTGTGTGCGTGTGTGTTTAACCACGTGAAGGGGGTGTGGTTTTGGGTGTCTTTCAACGGGAGCAAACAGGACAGAGAGGCAAAAAGTCATAGGCCAGCTATTAACAACTGGTTCACACCGTAGGTTCACACACACACAAACAGCAAGGGGGAGGGGGGTGCAGAGAAAAGGCAGAGAGGAAATGGAGGACACCAAGTGGTTAAAAGAAAAACTACGAGGCACGCCTCGACCGGAGAAACAAGCGTCTGGTCTGAACTGAGGAGCAGCGAGCAGCGGCCGAATTTCGTGAGCGCTTCGCGGTGCTTCAGCGGCCGGTGTGTCCCCGGCGTCAGGGTGTTTGTGTTTTGATTTTAACTTTTGGTTCCTGTCGGCTATTTTCTGATCCTTGTTTATTTCCTGTTTGCAGGCGGTGTGTTGTGAAGATAAACGCCACTGTTGTCCAGAGGGAACAACGTGTGATCTGGTCCACAGCAAGTGTGTTTCTCCGTCATTCCAATCGATCCCACTGCTGGAAAAACTTCCTGCTAAAAGACTTGGAAATAAACTTGGTGAGGATTCCTTGTGTTAACAAATGTCCTTGGTTTAATGGTTGTGTCCTAATATGAGGACAGAAACCATCTCTACTCTTAACTAACAATGTTTTGACCTCTGCAGCTGTTGCAGTGATTTGTCCAGGTGGGAAGAGCAGCTGTCCAGATGCGTACACCTGCTGCCTGCTGACCAGCGGAGAATACGGCTGCTGCCCTTACCCAGACGTACGCTTGAACACTATTCCTGGTTCTTCTGCTCGTTTCATTCATGTTGGTTGTTTCCACGGATTGTGCTTTATCTTCAGGCTTTCTGGGTCTGTGATGTTTCTGTGAGTCTGCGGTTTGAAACCAGATTTAACTGAAGTAGTGATATGTGTTACCTGGGTAACAGAACAGCATGCAAACTGTGAAGATTACTTTTTACCAGCTGTGAGAATTCAGGCACCAAATGGAGAGTCTAATGACGGGAGTCGTTTGATTCTTTTAAAGCAGAGAAACTCGGCGGCAGTTTCAACTGAAGCAGCACTAGCCTGAAACCACGGGCCAGAGATCCAGAGCTAGAGATAAAAGTTTCCACACAAATGCTCCCTGATGCGTCTGTTTGTAATATCTATCATGTGCAGGCCACATGCTGCAGCGATCATTCCCACTGTTGCCCTAGCAACACGATCTGTGACCTTGAACATGGAGTCTGCAGGTCTGCTGAAGTCCTGACCCCCCTGATGGAGAAGATCCCTGCTGTGTCCACTGATGGTGAGCTGCTTTACTGATACTCATACTGGAGAATGTGTGTCTGGGAAAACAAAAACTCTGAATAAAGATGATTAATTATTGGTTCTTGCGTCTCAGTTGTGTGTCCAGACAGGAAGTCAGCTTGTCCTGACCAAACTACCTGTTGCCTGATGAAAAACGGGACCTATGGCTGCTGCCCACTGCCCAGTGTAAGTGATTAACAGGAACACCCCAGAGGTGAAGCATCACCTAGCAAGAGATGACGTCCAGCTGCCTTTTTGTTTGTTGGGACCTGCTAGTCCATAGCCAGTGTCATGGTTTAGATTACAGTTTATTGTAAGTGTAAATGAATGAATGAACAGACATCTGTCTTGTTGTTTTTTGCAGGCTGTGTGTTGTTCAGACTATGTCCACTGCTGCCCTGCAGACACACAGTGTGACCTCCAGCACAGCACCTGTGTCCCCGCTCAGGACAACATGTCCGTCTCTAAGGTCTTCGCTGCTGTGAGGCTTCAGAGCAGAGGTAAGTGGAGAGGTCAACAGTCAGCTCTCACTTGGTGGTTAATGCAATAAAAGGTACTGACAGTCAGCTGTTCTCATCTCAGACTTATTGTTAAAGCTGTTTTATCCTTAAGGTCTGTGACTGAGTTCACAATTCTAAGTGTGTGAAAGTGTGAAACAAGTTTCAGTTTACTTAAGAACTGTGATGGAAACAGCGTAAGTAAAGCATACACTCTGATGCAAAGAGGTAGAGGTCTGATGACAGGTAATATAATCTTCCAACGCCTTATTGTGACTTTTCTGAGCAGTAGTTGTTTTAAACACCAGAAACTAACTAGTAGTTTGAAACTTGCTCCAGTCAGAGGTCTTCCTGTTTACAGCAACTCCACTTGCTTTGTGATGTCTTTGGCAGCTGTGGTCCACACTATAGATAGATAACTGATGGACCCTCATTAACTCATTCACTGCCAATGACGACTGAATTCGTCATTTGCATTTTTTACCGTTTGAGCATCGGAACGAGCCCCCGCGCTGAGAGAACAAACATCTCAGCCCTGAAGCCGATCCTCATCCGCGTACGTCACATGTCACGTGATCAGGAAGCAGACCATCCATGTATTAGGAGATCGTTTTGGGCCGTTCCTGTAAAAAAAAAGTGAGGCGCGAACCAGAAAAACGTCTGCCGATCACAATTCAACAACGGATTATGAAAGAACGGATAACGCTCGAAACACACGGATTCTTCCTGATCAGGGTATCTGCAGGTCCTTAAAAAGTCTTAAAAAGTCTTAAATTTGCTTTTCCAAGTTTAAGGCCTTAAAAATCCTTAAAAATGACAAATAATCCTTAAATAGTTTCCAAAGGTCTTAAATTACCAAAGACCTAATAAACAAGATTCTTTTATTTCCATAAAATTTTCGTGAATTTCTAGTTATTTCAGCATTTTTTGTGTACGATGTTGGCATAAGTGGAACCATACACATTCGGTTGGTTGTGAAAGGGGGCTATTTTTAGATGAGCATGCTAGTGGGAGCTTGCGCCATGGGGAAGTGCAACATTAATGGTAACTGGATGGCTAATCCAACGTTCACGACGTGGTTAGCACCGGTTCCAGGCAATAGCCGGAAATTATAGCTTAAATTTAATTTTAAAAAATAGCTTAAATTTGGTCAAAGTGGCCTTAAAAAAGGTCTTAAAAAGTCTTAAATTTGTCTCCCTTAAACCTGCAGATACCCTCCTGATGTAAGGGTTAGGGTTAGGGTTAATCAATTTCCCTCTGGGATTAATAAAGTATTTTTGAATTGAATTGAATTGAATTGAAGAGGTGAGTCTCCGCTTTGTTTTGGTTGTTTTGACGTCGACATCATCCTAGCGTGCAAGTTCTGTGACTCTTAAAAAAACAGTAAAAACGGTGAGAAACGCTGGCAGCGAAGGCCGTTAGCGATCAGGAAACGGCCGGCACTGAATGAGTTAAAAAGAACCAAATTATGGCCTCAATACCACCAGTTTGTTTTATAAAAACTGTTTTAAACAGTTGTTGCTAGGGATGTCCTGATACAACTTTTTCACTTCCGACACCGATTTCGCAGCCTTCAGTATTGACCAATACCGATATCAATCCGATATGATATCAGCACAAATCATACGTACTTTTACCTATTTCATAGTGTGGAATGTGTGAAAGTCTTGATCAAGTGACATCACTCAATCGGAGAACAAGAGCCAATAACAGTAATTGTGAAAAAATGACAGATTTTTTTAAACCATTGGTTGCAAAGATGTGAACCTTAACGAACCGCTTATATCAGAGATTTTTGATGCAGTCCGATATAATCCGATACACAGTTTATGGGCCGATATCGAATTACTTTTGATAATGATATCGGAACGGGACATCCCTCGCTGTTGCTTGTGAATGCTCTTTATTGATATTGATTGATTTATTGTGCACAAAATTCAGATTTAGCACCTGGTTTAATTCAGTTTTCTAGAACCGATTCAGCTTCTGTGACATGAAAATAAGGTGAAAAACATCTTGATATCGGCCTTGAAAATCGGCCCAAAATATCGCCAGCAATATAGGTCGAACTCTAACCAACGTCCTGTGGCCTGGTCGCTTTATGTGTGGGAGGAAACCCCGCTGGATGCTGCTAGCGTCCGTCTCAGATTCACTGAGGAGATGAACCAGGTTTGTGTTTGTGTTCCAGTTGTTCCCTGTAACGACTCGGTGTCCTGCGCTGATGGAAACACCTGCTGTAAATCTGCAGGGGGAGGATGGGCCTGCTGTCCTCTAGCTCAGGTTGTGGTTCACTCACTAACACTTCCTTTAGCTCCACCTCCAACCAACTGCCACGCTGAAATGTGCTTTTCCAACAGTTTAATCCAGATGAGTCAGTCGTAACTAACCCTGTTTCCCCTGCAGGCTGTTTGCTGTGAAGACCACCTTCACTGCTGCCCCCACGGCTCCGTCTGTAACCTGGAAGCTAAAACCTGCGACGACCCGTCTGGGTTCCCTCGGAGGCTCCAGTGGCTGACCAAAGTGCCCGCTTTGAGCTCGAGGCAGCGGGAGGAGACGTGTGACGAGCAGACGTGTCCCAGGGGCAACACCTGCTGTAAAGGGGAGTCTGGACTGTGGGCCTGCTGCCCTCTGCCTCAGGTCAGAACCGTGACAGTTACATGGCATCATGGGTAAATGTCTGCTGACACTAACAGCTGGAGGTGTTTGTTCTTGGTGAAGTCTTCCTCTGCTCCTGCATGCTGTTTGTTTATAACTACAGTATTAGTGAACTAGGTGTATGTTTTACGTTAAGACTTTACAACAGTGCTGAAACCGCCTGGTTTGATCGGTGGCTGAATAACATCCTGCTGGTTCCAGGCTGTGTGCTGCAGCGATCAGCAGCACTGCTGTCCACAAGGCTTCCGGTGCAACGTGGCCAAGCAGAGCTGTGACAGAGTCGGACACCTCGGCCTTCCGTGGTTTCAGAAGGTCCCTGGTCGGAAAAACGAGCCCAGTCGGGTTGACTCCAGTCGAGCTCCGTCTGACAGAATCGTGTGCGACGCTCAGACCAGCTGCCCCAAAGACACAACCTGCTGCTTCATGGAGAAAACCCACAAGTGGGGCTGCTGCCCGCTGCCACAGGTCAGTCCACTTCCCTGCATGTTCTGTACGATAAAGCACAGGGGTGCTCACAGGTCCACTTGTCCTCCTTCAGGCTGTGTGCTGCCAAGGTGGGAACCACTGCTGCCCCAGTGGACACACCTGTGAGCCCCACCGGTCCACCTGCTCCAGAGGTCCTAACACCATCGCCTGGTTTACCAAACTGAGCGCTCGGACCGAGCCGATGGACGTGAGCGACGTTAAATGTGATAACAAAAGTAGCTGCGCTTCAGGGACAACCTGCTGCAGGCTGCCGAGTGGAGAGTGGGGCTGCTGCCCGCTGGTGAAGGTCTGAACAACACCGCTCTCATCAGAAGCCATACCCCGGTGTGGAGTTCTGCTTTACTGAAAACGTCTGGTTAAATGTTTCTTTTCAGGCGGTTTGCTGCGACGACCATGAGCACTGCTGTCCTCAGGGATACAGCTGCAACATGAAGACAAGTACATGTGAGAAGAAGGTTGACTCTCTGCTCCTCACCACTCTCCCTCAGAGTGAAGTGGTCCGGTCCAAACCAAGGGAGGCGGAGGACGATGGAGACGTATCATGTGACAGCACGGGGGTGTTTCACTGCTCCAAACAAGAAACCTGCTGCAAGGTCTCAGACACGGAGTGGAGCTGCTGCCCGACTCACAAGGCATGTTCACCTAAAGGGTTTGCAGTCCTGATCCTGAAATGTTTTAGTTGTTTCTCTGCTCCACCACACCTGATTCAGTGGTTGAGTTGCCTGTTCAGTAGCTCACCGAGCACCACAGGAACCTGTTAGTCACCCACTGATTAACATCAGGTGTGTTGGAACAGGGGACCAGCTAAAACAGACTGGATAGTGGGTTAGGGTTTGCTTAACACAGCAGCCTCTCTAGAAAGTGGGCCAGAACTGTACTGAGCCCCACTGACACCACCAGCTGGTTTGAGTCAAACGGCTTCCTGTAGCATGCTACGCTTGGCATTCTGGGATGTGGTAGAGAACATAGACATCAGGAGATCCTAGCTGGGTAAACTGGACCAGAGACGGTCCTCCATGTGGACTGGCTTAGAACTCAGGATTCTGGCCTCCAGATCTGACCTATCAACTTTAGGTCTGAATGAGGCCTGAGTTTCTAATGGGCCATTCCCATATGTACCGGTTCGGCCCGGGCCGGGTAGCCCCAGTCGGCCCCAGCCTGGCCCGGTTAGGGTTAGGCTTGCTCTAATGGAAGGTGTGAATTTGCTGTCAGCAGTGGGTGTGTTGGCCCTGGTCGGCCTGAAGCAGACCCCCTCGAGAAGAGGGCTGAGAATGAGCCTTGGTTGGCCCGGAAAAATACCAGGCCACCCAGATATGTAAACAACCTACGCTGCCCGGCCCGGGCCGACCCGGTACAGATGGGAATGGCCCATGAAGGCCATTTTTTTCACCAATTTCTGCTCCTTTTAAACCAGCAACAGTTTTTGGTGACCGTGTTTTCCTCAACAGGCCGTCTGCTGCTCCGACTCAAAGCACTGCTGTCCTGTTGGCTTCTCCTGTGACCTGAAGGCCGGAGGCTGCACCCAGAACCAGACCTGGGGCAGAAACAGAGACTTCTTCCCTCTGGGCTTTTAATCCTTAAAGACAGAGGAATTCTTCCTGTTGGGTTCCTCTGAGGGGCATTCGCTGTTTTTATAGTTTTGCTTTAGGTGTGAAGATCAGAGCAAATATATAATTTAAGGGTAAAACTATTTCATGAGCTCAGAAAGCGTTGGGTTGACTTTGATTGGACAGCTTCTCGTTCAGCAACATTTAGTTGTAAATAATTTGATCAAACCAGAATTTCTTAAACCCACCCAAAGGGCCGCATTTAGAGTTTAGGTGCAGCTTGTTGTTTTTCATCTGCATGGGTTTTCTTTGGAAAACGAAACGTTTTCACAGCTGCAGGCCTACATAGGTTTTAATCTGAATGAAAAAATACTAAAGACAGAAAATATTAGAGGCTTTTAGATAGAATATTTTGATTTTTGGTTTAATGACAGCGGAGCTTCAGGTAGAACTAAAGGGGTTCAAACTACCAACTCAGTCTTTGTGGAGCTGTGGAGGATCTAAAGGTCTACTCTGATCTTTACTCAGGAGAGCTCGATGGTGTCTGATCAGCTGTTTAGTTTTTACCTTGATGAGAGTAAAGGAGTGACAGGAGGTGAGCTCATCCTGTGCCTTGAGTCGTTCCTGCCGAGTCTAAATAAGTCGCTCATTTCAGATATTTGTGCTTTTCACTGACAGAACATTTTATGTACGCGAGTTAAAAACTGCGCCTTTTTCTCTTTAACAGCTCAGACTCAGGAGAACGTTAACAGTCAAACACATTTTCTGCCTTTTTCAGTGTTTTGATTTTAGATGGGTTTTTTTTTTATCTCTGATTTTGTTCATTTGCTTTTTTCAAAAGTTTGTAAATGAAATTATGATATAAAAACAATTCAGCTTGGCTCAGTTTAGAAGCTCGGTCACAAAGACTGAAACCAAACAAGTAGGAGCAAATATGCAAATGCCCATAAAGTTTCACAAAACATAGAATAGTTTTCTTTTTGTTTCCTAAACATTTTTTATTTTGTATAACATATTTTTTCTTTTACATTTTTATGTATTTTCCTTCTGTCCTTTTCCTCCTATAATCAGGCGTATTCGCTTTCTTAGGAAGTCTTCTAAGACGTTTAAATTGAGAAACTGCTTGCAGACACCAGCTCCTCTGTCTCCGAGGAAAGTTCTCCTTGTTCTGGACTCAGAACACGTAATGCACTGATTACTGATTTATTATTTATTTATTTTTCTGTAAAATGCAGATAAGTATAAAGTTTAGTGAGTTAATCTCAAAAGTAAAGGTAAATAAAACAAAACCGGTTAAACAATCATATTTAGTTAACAAAGTTTGAATTTTCTATTTATTCTTGACGTTGTTGGTTTCAGTCCCCTGTGTGTGAAAGTTGTGATGTTTTATGGTGTTTTGTATCTCGAAGCCTCTATAAAGTTCATGTTTGGATATTTTTAAATGAACATTTCATCTTGAAGCCGAAATAAAGTTATTTAAAGCCTCCTGGTGATGAAGGATTTCCATGAAGTCATCCTGCGCAGCAACAGGCCCACACACTTCCTCTAGCCTTTGACGTCTTGTCAGAATGTTGCTATGATGACCACAGTAAACAGGAGATGGCTGAGAGGAAACGCAGCTGTGGGAGAGGGTGAAGAATTGTTGGGCCTTCTGGCCCCCTAGTGGAGGCAGACAGACACACCAGCTCAGGATTAAACACCAGGGGTCTCATTTATCAAACATTGCGTAGAATCCTTACTAAAACCGTACTTGAGCTCAACAAAAAAAATGTACTTATGCCAAGCAGGTTTGTGATCTATCAAACATGGAGTACGCACAGCTGCACGCGATCTCCGCTTCATAAATCGGAGACTAACGAGAATGTTTCTCAGCTGCATTTTAGTCACATCCCGCCCTCACCACGCCCACTTACTGCCATAAATAGTCAATGCAAAGTGCCTTGTGGATCTCATGCATAGACATAAGCCGGCTGTTGCAGCGCTCCGCCAAAGACGATGGCGACCGTAGCTCAAGGCAGATCAAGGAAGCGCAATTTCACAGAAGCAGAAATTCAGGTACTTGTGGGTGAGGTGGAGAAATGAAAGGAAGTGCTTTTGCAAAACAAATAAGAAAATTCACGGAGTGGCGCAGCGTTGCTGAAGCCGTCAATATTGTGAATTCTTCAGAGAGATCTGTGGCGGATATAAAAAAATGGTCCAGTCGGGATTCGATGCCCAGACTCCCAGGTGAAAGTCACGCACGCTAACCAGTCAGCCAAACAGAGATCTCCCTTGTCCAACTAGCCAGGGTGCATGATCAATCGGGTCACAGTGACAGGACACACACACCGTTACAGACGCATGACATTCTGTCTCAATCTGTCCCCCTGCTGATATTCTGCATTCCGTACTCTGCGCTTCAGGCTGTGTGTGCGTGTGGGGGGGTCTTGTTCTGTGTGAAAACGAAGCAGTACAAGTGATAATGCTGCAGGATTTCATAATTTTATCCTTCTCAGCAGCAGCACTGCAGGTGCTCTCCACGTCCAACATGTGCGTGAGCCAGGTCCTTAGTCAACTTAAAGTTGCACACATTTTTCCGCTCAGTTTTCTTTCATAAATCCCAAAGTTTGCGTGGAAAGTCGCTTATGCAGTTTTCTGACCCCGTTTTGTGTGTAAGCAACCTTGATAAAGGAGGGCCCAGCTACATAGACCTTCACTTTTCCTTCTCCATGATTTAAAAAACACCAAACATTCATACGGATGTCAGAGTTCAGCCAGAGACAAGCCCAAAACACTCCCACTCAAAAACGGTATGCTTATAAACATTATGGGATTCTGGTGTCTCAGATCTGAACTCTGACCTCTGGTCAGACTAAACCCAGAGGAAATGGTTTGAGTCTTGAGCCTTCATGTGATTGCTCTGAGATCAGAATTCTTGCTTTGTTTTTTGTTTTGTTTTTTCAAAAACGTTGGGAGGAAGTTTTGATATTGTTCATAAAAAGTTGCTAAGATGTCCAAACAAGCAGAAACAAACGGGTTAGAGTATTTAGGCAGACATGGACAAAGGACAATGATGTATATCTGGAGTGCCTTTCTGAGTCAGAGGCCTCTAAAGTGCTTTACACTAAAGTCAGTCATTCATCCATTCACACACTGATGACGGTGAGCCGATGGAGTCCAGGCTGCTGAGCACAGGCACCACCGGTCCCTCCAACCACCACCAGCATGTACTCTGGTTTGCTTTCCTTATTATGAAGCTTTCACTAAGACTCGTCATGGTGTGAAAACACCTGAAAACGCTGTAAGCTTTTCAGATCCATGTTTAGTCAAATTCACCTTGCAACAGCAGAGGAAACCCCGGCGTGCGAGTAAAATGTCTGCAGCCTCGCTATTGGTCCCTCACATTCACATGTTGCCAGGGGAGAGCTCCCCTGCCTTCATTCCTGCAGAAATCCAGTGGACTGCTCAGACAGCTGATCTTCTACTGATCACTCACAGATACTCTTAACTCTTCTCCAAGGATCTAGGGACACCCTGGACAGGTCTCCAGTCGGGGACAAACACACACTCACACAGAGGCAACTTAGAGGTACTAATCAGCTTAACATGAAGGTTAGGTGAGAGGAAACCTACACGTGCAGGAGGAGAACATGCTAACTACATGCAGTAAGGTCACAGCTGGGATTCAAACCTGTGACCTTTGTCCTGTGAGGTAACGGTGCTGCCAGCTGTACCACCAACCATGCAGCCCAATAACTAAATGTTGTATCTAGCCTGAGTTCTGATGGTGTAATCTTAAATCTAAACCTAAAACTAATCTGTTTTAATCTCTGAAATCAGATTACATCAGTTTGAGTTAGTCTGGTCAGGTTTTTTTTTCTCTGGCTGAAGTGGAGTTCATCTCAGGGTGGGCAACTCCAGTCCTCGAGGGCCGGTATCCTCCATCTTTTTGTTATTTCCCAGTTCCAACACAGTTGATTCAGCAGCTCATCAAGCTGCAGAAGCCAGCTAATCTCCTGCTGAATGAAATCAGGTGTGTTGAAACAGGGAAAACAGTAAAACATGTGGGATAGTGGCCCTCGAGGACCAGTGTGTGTGTGTGTGTGGGGGGGGGGGGGCACATGAGAGCCAATCAGATGAGCCTGTGGGAGCAGGAAGCTGATAGTGACCAACAGGAGACCCCACCTCACAAGCCTGTTTGGATCTGATATGAATCAGCAGCAGAGGCTCTCAGAGGTAATGTCCCATGTACATTTGACTCTGTAAAGGTCTGCTTTATGTCGCAATGTGTGTGTGTGTGTGTGTGTGTGTATGGGGTCCTGACCTGTCTCTGGATCTTTAATTCAGCATGTTATGAAAGAATAAATGTTCTTTTTATTTAGTCTTTAGAGCTTTAGTTTTAGCTACGTGTGTGTGTGCGTGTGTGCGCGCGCGTGTGTGTGTGTGTGTGTGTGTGTGTGTGTGTGTGTGTGTGTGTGTGTGCGTGCGTGCGCGTGTGTGTGTAGGTTTGTATGTGAGTGAACGTGTGTGTTGATCTCCAGAGTTTGCTGTCACCATGGTGAACTCTGCAGCAGAGGACCTCTGACAGCTGCTGGGTTTGGAGGCAGAAATGTGTTGGATCTATTTTTACTCATCTAGCTGCCGGTGTCTTTTCATTCTCGCCTCCCAAACACCAACATGAGAGTGTTGCCAGGTCCCAACCTGCTCCCACTGCAGGAACGATGAGCTGGAAAACCGTGGGAGTTAAAAATGGAAAACCCCTTTCATAAAATAGTCAAACAAGACTCACTTTGGGGTTTTATCATCTTCTAATTGTACAGATGGCATTAAGGCTCATATTTATCTAGACCTGAAACTGACAAAATAATAAAATCAGATGAAAATTTAAAATTACACCTTTAAGGCAATAAAATGATAATTTTTAGGGATCTGCTCCCAAAGTTTTCCATCTTAATCATACTTTTTCAATTAACATATTGTATTTGAGTTATTCCATTCATTTTTATTTGTAATGTTTTTATTTCATTATTTAGTTCCTTAAGCTTCACCTTTAAAGGTGCTGTCTGCGGTTAAAATGCTGCATAGGAAGGTAAAAACAGATAAAACATTAAAAACCAACAAAGCTTTACCTTTAATTAGAAATATATTTAAAGGTTACAAACAGCTGGTGTCTTCCTCCAGGTGTCCTCTTACAGAGGCATGTCCGCCCCTCAGATGTTTGACACCAGCTCTTCTGTAATCGTCATGACCCACGGGTCAGAACTTTCCCCTGGAACCAGCAGCGCGAGACGCGAGGAGAAGACGAACCCCGTGGTCCAAGCCGTCAGTCCACACCTGACCAAAGTCATGCAGCTCGGTACCGCCACACCTGTGACGACCCAACAGGACCACAGCTTGTCCATTGTGGCTCAAGCTGAAAGTAAGAACACCAAACTGGTCTGCTGACACATTCTATGACCATTTTCTAAAAGTACAACAAACGTGTTGAAGAGTTTTTGAGTTAACCAAGTGGAAATTGGAAATTTGGAAACTTCATAAAGTTCTGATGAGTCAAATTAATTTTCATTCAGTGCTACAGAAAAATAGGTGTCTCAATCTGTAGGTGATGGAATAACGATCAAGAATTTGTGTTTGTGTCCGATCCTGATGTTGCAGGGAGTAGAAGTAAAGAAGGTACTTAGGATCTTTGGTACATTACAACAGAGAGGGTGGAGAAGAGGTGAAGAAACGTGTGAAGCAGGTTGAATTGGGTGGAGAAAAGTCAGGTGTGATGGAAGGTTTCAGTGAGAAAGAACAGTAAAGGTGAAGAAGACAGTAGTGAGACCAGCCTTGTTGTCTGGTTTAGAGGCCGTTTCCATGCGGACGAGACAGCAGGCAGAACTGGAGGCGGCAGAGCTGCAAGTGACGAGGACGGATGTGGAAGGAGTCCATCAGAACAGCTCATGTTAGATGTTTTAAAGTCAGAGAGGCCAGACGGAGGTGGTTTGGACGTGTCCAGGGGAGAGGCAGTGACTACATAGGTAGAAGGATGCTGAGGTTCTGAGAGCAAAGAGGAGATTTATGGATGTGGTGAATGAGGACGTGAAGGAGCAACAGATACAGGAGATGGCACTAAACTGATGATTTGCTGTGGAGACTCCCAAAGGGAAAAGCCCAAACAGAAAAACAGTTTTCTGACAGTTAATGAGAATAAATAAGTAAACATCTCTCAGAGAAAATAAACGTTTAATTTACCAGGAGAAGATTTGCAGGAGTTCAGCCTCTCCAACACTCAGCGGCTCGCCTCCAGATCTCAGCTCTACCAACGGCTCAGGTAAAATATCCTTCTTTCACCAGGTGAGAAGCCCTCCCGCCTGGTCTGTGACACTCACAGCAGTCCAGATTATTCAGATTAAATGTTGTCTATAACATTAAACATAAACTTCTGTGTTTATGCCAGGAAATAAATTCATCCTGCAGTCAGAAAGACTCTGAATGTTGTTTAAAACACATGCAGCCACTTCCAGTTTACACCTCACCTCACTTCACCTCACCTTCCTTCACTTATCCGGGGCACGGGTCGCGGGGGCAGAATCTCAAGGGCCTCCCAGTCCTCTCCCCGGCCAAGTCCACCAGCTCCTCAGCTGGGACACCCAGGCGTTCACTGGCCAACCTAGACATGTATTTCCTCCAGGTGGTCCTGGGTCGACCCGGGGGCCTCCTGCCAGCAGGACATGCCCAAAACACCTCTCGAGGGAGGCATCCTAACCCGAACCACCTCATCTAGCTCCTTTCTATGCCATTTTACCCACAGTGCAATAAACTTAGTTTGTGCTCTTTTAATCCCGCAGATTTGAAAAGAAAATGTAATTATATGCGAATGCAGTGACACCTAGTGGTAAAAAATGTTAAAGCACCTTAACAGCCATTATTATTATTACTATTATTATTACTATTATTATTGTTGTTGTTGTTGTTGAATAACAATCAAGATTTTAAAATGAAAACACAGTTCTGTCAGTTTTATGTTGTTTTCTGTCTACAGACCTCTAAGTGAAGACGCCTTCCTTGTCAGTGATGAGGAGGAGGAGGAAGAGGAGGAGGCAGCTTGGAACGAGCTTTTACATCAGCAGCTCCGCAGAAAGCAACGCAGGAAGACTCGAAGCAGACAGAGGAGGCTAAAGGATGGAGGAGAACCTCCTGTCATCCAGGGTCTGTGGGTCCAGGAGATAGACTGGTTGAAGATGACATCATCCACTGAGATCATCCCGCCTCCTCCTCAGTTTACAGACTCCTGCTGTCATGGCAACCACCTGCAGACGGGCCATGCATTTGATGACAGCAGAAGTTCTGACTGCGGGTCCATCATCACTCATGAGGACAAGTCGGACTCATCCTGCCGCGCTGATACCGCTCTGCCTGGAGCCCAAACAAACATGTCAGGTCTGACCTTTGACCTGATGCACATCTCTGGATTTGACACCTCCCATCAGTCAGAGTGGGATTCTGACTCTAGTCTGCAGGGAGTTTCAGACTCTTCGCTGAGCAGCGTGAACTCATCCCAAAGGACCTGTAGTTCTGGTTCTGAGCCCGACTCTGAAGCGTTAAGAGGCAGAGTGATTCAGATCCCAAAGCTGCTTGTTACAGCTTTATTCAGAGAGTCAGTGGAACAGATTCTGGATGGCTGGAAGACGAATAAACCTGCAAATGAAGGATTCATATTTCATCATGTAAGGACTTAATGTCAGCAGGTTTGTGTTTTACAAGCTCCTCTTGTTGCTTTACTGTTAAAGGTCCATATTTTACTTTTATTGCTTCTTGTTGAGTCAATAAAAATGAAAACTTCTACATGTTTACATCCAAAGTATGAACCCTGTTTGGGACCAAAAAATAAAAAACTACCAGGAACCATCTAGTTCCAGGGAAAAGGTTCTGAGATATTTTTCTTCACACCTCTGACTTCTCCTTTTGTTTTAACTTTCTTCCCATTTTATGGCGTGTTTTCATCTGGTTCTTCAAGCTGCTCCAACCCAGTACCAGTTACCAGTACAGGGAAGGAGTGGAGTACAGTGTTCTCCACCACATCCAGAACGGCTCCTACGGAGACGTGTTCTGTGTCCAGGACAAACACACCGGGTTTACATGTGCTGCTAAAAGGGTGAGAAAAGAGTTCACTCAAAGGGGCACTTTGAACCTGGAGTGATGTTGTTGAACTGAAATGAACTGATCTGATGCTCTGGTCGACCTCAGATCCCTCTGCGTCACTTCAGCGTGGAGGAGGTGAGAACGTGGAGCACCCTGAACTCTCCTCGCGTTGTTGAGCTGTTCGGAGCTGTGAGAGACGGACTGAATGTTGTTCTCTTCATGGACCAGAAACCAGGTAAACAGAACCCTAAAGCCTTTAACAAACTGTCCCACTAGACTGAAACCAGATGAATCCAACTCTCCAAACCACTTCAGCTTGTTTGGGCCAGGTCCTGAAGGAGGTGAGCTGCCTGCCTGAAGACCTGGCCCTGCATTACCTTCACCAGACACTGGGGGCACTGGAGCACCTGCACCACAGAAAGGTGCTTCACCTGGACGTGAAAGGTGGGCTTTCATTTGTTCATCCATGTGTTTGAGCTACAAAATCTAATGTCATATCAGCAATCATCTGTCTGACTTTATTGTGAGTAAAAATACTAAAATAAAACTCCTCCACAGAGTAAAGGTCCTGTATTTATTGTTTTAAGGTAAACGCTTGACTGTCGGAACGGGTTTGAATTCTACTAAGAATAAAAACTGAAGATTTAAGTTTTGCTCACAGTCTGATGAGGACTTGGCGATAGTTTCGCTTTTCGGCGCTGTCAGCAAACATTGAGCTGTATGATCACACGGTGTTCCTGCACGCTGCAGCAATGAGATTTAAGATTATCATCAAAACACCTGGAACCTCTAAACCCCCATGATCCAGACCAACCAGTCAGGTGGAGGAGAACACTTCAGAGCCGTGTCCAGGACTTTTAAAATGGGGTGGCCCATGTGGGGCACTTGTTTATTTATGGGTGGCACCAATGGATATGCTTATTTATTTACACAAATTGTTTATTTATTTATTTATTTGCTTTCTAGTGAATTTTTGAGTTTCACATTACACAATCACCATATTTTTTTTCCTCTTCATCTTCTACTTTTGTGGTGGTTAGCAAGTCACTTCTTGTTGCATTACTGCCACCAACTGGAGTTGAGTGGGATTCTAAATACTATGTATGTGAGTATGAAAAAATATTAATAGTAATATTAATACTACACATCTGGGCTAGAAAACAAGGTGAAATGTGCATGCAACCACACACTATTATTGGAGTTTACAACTCAAGCCTTTTGTCGACAATGTACAGTCAATTTAAACGGGAACTTAGTGGGGTGGCACCTGGGGTGGCCAATCAGATTCTAAGGGTGGCATGTGCTACCCCAGGCCACTCCCTGGACACGCCCCTGGAACACTTGATGTTTGGAGATTGGAGATGCCACCAATGCAGCTGCAGAAGTATCTATCAGTCCACCATTTATCCTCTCTGAATGTGTGTGTTGATTTAATTCCAGCGGAGAATGTGCTGCTGTCTGCAGACGGCAGGGACACGTTCCTCTGTGACTTTGGTCTCTCAGAGATGTTGGATGGCAACAGGGGGAGCTCCAAGGCTTTCAGAGGTGAGTTCATGCCCAAACATTTGCAAATGAACAAGTTGGAACAGTTCAGGTAAACTAGTGGCAGAGTCAGACAAATCAGCATCAGAATGCCTTCTCATAGACTTGCGTCCAGAACACATAACGTTGTGATTTCTTCCTTTGCTACAAGAGGAGATCTGATTAAATAACTTAGATAACTCATCACAACCATAATTGTTCGAAAAGGAATAGGAAGAAGCGTAGCTCATTTCACCTATCCCTAAGTCAATTTACTCATACTTAAAAATAATTCAGAATATTAGAATACAACAACTTCTGAACACAACATCACATTACAACAACGTTAATACATGTTATCACTACAGTACACACGGTATACAAATTAGTGATCCTCTAGTCTATATCTGGAAAAAAAATAATTCTTTATATAATGTCTTAAATTGCACTATATTTAAACTTTCTTTGACCTTGTCTTTCTGCAAACAGGTTTAGAATATTTTCAGGCAGTATTTTTTATTTACTTTGTACATAACTAATGCAGTCCTAAATTATATCAAGTCTTTGAAATTTAAGGTTTGTAATTTTATAAACAAGCTATTTGTGTATTCATTACATCCCACATGACTGACCCACCTTATGGCTCGTTTTTGTAACGTACAAAGTGCATATAGGGTGGTTTTATAGATGTCTCCCCACACTTCAGCACAGTAAGTTAGGTATGGTACTATCAGTGTGCAGTACTGTGTACACAACGCCTTTAGATTCACAAAATGTCTTGCTTTTCCCAACACCCCAATGCTCCGTGCTACCTTTCCTTTAACATATTTTATGCGAGGTTTCCAACATAATTTGTGATCAAGGATTACACCCAGAAATGTATTTTCATACACTCTTTCTTTAATAATATCATTTATAGTTATTGCATATGTGTGTTTATTTCACGTTTTCCAAACAACATAACTTGAGTTTTGTTTAAGTTTAACGACAACCTTATCAAATCAAACCATAGTTTCAGTTTAGCCATTCCTGCTGTTACCAATTTACAAAGATCTTGCAAATTCTTTCCCGAAGCGAACATTTTTTTATCATCTGCAAATAAAACACATTTTAATGCCCTGGAAACCTCACGCAAATCATTAATATACTGTCTTCTTCTGTTTCCTTAAGAAATGTGCTTTTTTGGCAGTATCCGCATTTTTCTTTATCAAGTTTTCAATTAGGTAGACGTTGGTTCCTTTGAGCATTCTTCCTTGTTTCAACAATGCATTTTTGTGCCTTCTATTAGCAAAGCCAACTATCATAGCTGGTTTCTCTGCTTTGTTTCTCCTGGGTAGAAGATGGCATGTCTCAATCTCTGTTTTGTTAATGGCTATGCCCTTGATGTGGAAAAAAGTAGTAACCTGTTGCTCCATTGACTGCATCGGTCTCTGTGGGCTCACCGCTGCTCAGCAGAACTGCCGTTCAAAGTAATGAACCGTAATTATCAGAGTTTTATTTTGTAGGAGCTGCCTTCCCCGGCACAGAGACCCACATGGCCCCCGAGGTGGCCCGAGGGGATCCGGCTTGTACCAAAGCTGACGTGTGGAGCAGCTGCTGTATGCTGCTGCACATGCTCAATGGCTGCCAGCCTTGGACCCGTCACTTCTCCCATCCACTGTGTCTCCACGTCAGAACGTCTCTTCCACTCTCATTTCTCTGTGTTGGACAAAAGTAAAAATAAAAACTATCTGCATGTATTTTCTTGTTTTTTTTTCCAGATTGTACACGAGCCTCCACCTTTGTGGGAGGTGCCGTCCACTTGCAACAACTTCACCGCTAAAGTGTTCAAAGCTGGACTCCAGAAGAACCCAGACAGACGAGCATCAGCACAGAAGCTCAGGAGGAGGACCAGCAAAGCCCTCAGAGCAGGTGGGGACACAGACTCTCCTGTTAATCAAGTTTGTACATTTATAAAAGACATTAAAATGGACAACAGCCACGGAGGTGTTTGGCTCTGTCTGCATCCTTCATGTGCATGTTTTCCTCTTAGTTGGAGGTCTGAGTCCATCTTCCATCAAATCCACCTGTCAGAGGTTGTATGGATCACAGAAACACAGCTCTAGTGTCCCAGATAAACCAGCTGTCTCAACTCCAGATGTGTTCTGGGTCAGCCCCTGGAGAACCCAGGCAGTGGACCAGGACAGCGATGAGTGGGATGGTGACACCTCGGATCTGGAGTCTGAGATTGGCCCTTTAACCAAAGAATGGGACTCCTGTCCTAGATCACTGTGGGACCAAGTGGACTGGGAATCCGGTTCTGAATCAGATGTGGATATTTACATGGGAGAGGAGGAGAATGTTCAGGAGACCTGTCGGAAAACCGACAAAAACTATGAAGGAGACTGGGAGGAGGAGGAGGAGGATGAAGACTGTGACTCCTCTGCCTCCACAGAGTATCTCCATGCTCTCAGAGGTGTTTTCCCTTTGCTGCAGAAAGGTTTGCAGATGGATGATGTTTCATGGGGATCTGGGGCAGAGCTGGAAGGCCTCAGAGAAGGTGAGTTATAGAAACCCGGTGGATAATTGTTTTGGTTTTAGTTCGATAAACCCAAAACTGACATGAAAGGTTTTATCCATCTGTCCTTGAAGGGTTTAAGGAGCTTTTATGTCTTAAATCTCATCATGTAGACTTTAATCAGTCAGTGACGGTGAATGACGATTGTGAAGATGCCTTTGTTATAAATGTAATAAAGATGAAAACAACATGCCCTCAGATGTACCTGTAGGCACCATGTTCCCGACTCCGTCCCCAGAGCCTCGAGATGAGCCACCATCCTGTTTGAGCTGCTCTGACTCCTCACAAATCAACAAATCCGAGACGGTAAGGACAGGTGGAGTGAGAACAAGGCTGTGAGGATCTCAGCCCTCCTAATGTCACATTTCTGCTCCTCTTTAAGGACTCTGACCATTCCTCTGATGACCTCAGCTCTGGTGTCTTCTCTTCCTGCAACAGCCAAGCGGACACACGTGTGGAGTGGTTAATGTCAGCCAATCAGACGTCCTCTTGCTGCTTTGAGGGTAAAACCAGGAGTCCTTCTCAGTCCGCCTATCACAGAGGATATCAAATAAACATCTCATGGCCTTTTCCAGGTGTTGACATCTGGATCGAGAACACTCAGGGGGATTGTTTGAGGATCCGAGAACATCGCCGGGTCAAAGTGGGTCACGTTGCCATAGGAATCAGTGATCAGGTATGGAGGTGGGGTCAGTCACTATAGTGACCTGTGAGGAATTTGATGTGGTTTATTTTTTTGACAGTTATATTAGAAAATACTTGGAAATATCTGAAACGCCCCTTTAAATACTGATTTACTGACAACCTGCATTGTTCTGCCTCTATTTAAATGAGTTAACTGAAGAATGTCTGTTTTGACTCTTGGTGAAACTCGGTTTTAGATAATTCAGAACGTTTGATTAATAAGTACATCAGCCCTTGAGCCTACAGAGTTGGTTGCTCTGTGCTGATGGCACGTTTCAGTTTGATCTGATCCTAAATCCTCCCACCTGTCTCTCAGATGTCAGGGAAAGCCTTCAGTTTGGAGACTCTGGACAGGAAGACGGTGTCCTTCGACGAGCAGATAGAGGAGTCTGGTTCGTGGTTCCGTTGTGTTCCTGCTCCAGATAGATGTCAGCGCTGGAGGTGGAGGATCCGGGACGGCAGGCTGGAGCTCCGGGAATGAGACGGTTTCTGGTGCTGCTCATTTTAGAAGAAATCCTTCTTGAAACCATTGTTTTTTTTTTTTTGTTTTTTTGTTAGTTTGTTTTTCTTAAAGCCTGAAGCACATAAACGGACCAGATTCAGTGACAAACAGCAAACAACTCTCAGGATCAATATGTAGGGCTGGATTTTAAGGTTTATCCACAAGGAATTCTGCAGAAGGAGAAGGTAAACAGCAGAAATCCTCCGACGTGTTTCAGACACTGAGCTGCTGGCTGTTGAGGAGAAAACATTCCTCTGATTAGAGGACATCCAGCAGCTCTGGAGCGGCGCCTGTTTGAACAACCATCTGCTGACTCATCAGATCAGGCTTCACGTTTCCAAACTACAGCCTTGGATTTCTGGTCCTAACATGGATACAAAACCTGTTGTTTGTTTGGGAAACTGCTCACACTAGTTCAGCATTTTGAGCTGGTTTAGCGTTTCTAAAGCCTTTTTAGTAAATTCCAACTATTCTGACCTTTGACCTCTAACATTAACAGATATGCTGGAAGTCTGAGTCCTGGGGTCACTATCCAGCTTGTTTTGGTTGTTTTCCTGCCTAAAACACCTGATTTTAATCAGCAGCAGAGCAACCGGCGTCTTCAGAGCTTGATGAGTTGCTGAACAGGTGATTCAACCATTGAATCAAATGTGTTGGAGCAGGGAAACGGCTAAATCATACAAACTCAAAATATTGTATCGCCTTTTGTGGAATGTCAAAACGTTTTAGCTTTTTAAAAACTGCTAATTTTCCATCCTTCTACAAAAGAGAATCCTTAAAAGATAAATGGCCTGTGTTTAGCACCTTCTAGAGTCCTAATGCCCCCAATCACTTTACAACACAATCAATCATTCACCCATTCACACCCTTGTGGTGATGAGCTGCGTGTGTAGCCACAGCTGCCCTGGGGCACACTGACTGAGGAGATGCTGCCGAGCACAGACTCCACCAGTTCCTTCGACCACCACCATCAGCCAATGTGGGTGAAGTGCCTTGCCCAAGGACACAACGACAGCAGCAGACTAAGCTCAGATTGAACCTGCAAACTTCTGATTGCAAGGCAGTCACTTAACTCCTCTGCCACCATCGTTTTAAAGTCTTCTCATGTTCACTACTAAAAGTTAAAATGTTTGTGTATTCGGGTGTGTTTTAAGATTTATATTTCATGGGAAACTTTTAAAATCCTTAAATCTTGAGTATTTCTGGTTATTTATTACTCCATCCATTTTCTGAGCCCGCTTGTCCACGCAGGGTCACGGGGGGGGGGGGGGGGGGGGGGGGGGGGGCACTGGTGCCTACCTCCAGCGGTCAATGGCCAATCAGGCGGGGTACACCCTGGACAGAGAGCCAGTCCATCGCAGGGCAACACAGAGACACACACACCTAGGGACAGTTTAGACAGACCAATCAACCTAACAGTCATGTTTTTGGACTGTGGGAGGAAGCCGGAGTACCTGGCAAACTCCATGCAGAAAGACCCCAGGCTGGGAAGCGAACCCTGGACCTTCTTGCTGCAAGGCAACAGCTCTAACCACTGCTCCACTGCGCAGCCCTATTTATTACTCAATAAGAAAATCATTATCTAAAGGCCTTTGTGTTTTATAGATCCTTATTTTTGTCTCAGGCTTTCTATTTGTCAGAACATCCTATTGTGAATGTTTAAGCACTAGTACAGAAGTGAGTGACTTTGTAATTAAAGGTCTGTCTGTTAGAGTAATGTGAAGTTAACCATGTATGAACTCCAAGTTATGCAACCACTGTTCCCTGAAGAAGAGGAACGAGTGGTATATGGGACGTCACGCCACATGTGGCCTGGCTGAAGAAGGCAAATTACGCCAGGTTGTGGGCCTACCCAGGGTGGACTGGCCATCTGTGAGTTCTGGAGATATTCCAGGGTTGAATTTTCGTCCCAGTCAGCCCCTGGCTCCCCCCACCCCCAGATGAACCTTTAAAGTAGAGAAGGACAAACCCTTGTTCAGCAACTCCTGCAGAAACGTTAGCACATCCACAACAGAGCTCTACGAAGGAACCATGGTTCTGACCAGACTCCATTGCTCAAAATCCCTCCATTTATAAGCATAAAAGCCCGTATTAGAGTAAGCTCTCGAACTCTGAACTGTGGCTACCGCTGCTGGAGGAAGACCCCTAGCTAGTTTGAAGCTGCCATTCCCCCCCCCCCCCCCCCCCCCCCCCCCAATAAAAAGCAAAATGCCATTTTAAGTTGTGGAAAGCAAAAGCTGTTTAGACCTAGAAACTATGACTGGTGTTCAGCAAGGGAACATGACCTAGGGATGAAAGCCAACAGGAGAGGTGAGAATAATTTAGCAGATTTGCCCATGCCACTTTAAAGATATGAGAAACGGAAGGAACCTGACCTTTTGACTGAGATTTTCATTTCCCGACTCCCATGGCAAGAGCAAATCTCGCTCAGAAAATCCTTCAACAGTATTTGGCCTGGAAAATTACTGTGGCCACCCTGAAACCAAGCCAGGTGTTGGGCCCGTGCGAATGCCTGATGGCTGGGCTTAGCATTCTGGTGTCATGGACTTGTCTACTTGTGGACCCACCACCTGCAAGAGGAGCATGATGGGTCTGTGTTGGCCAGACCGAGGTGGTAGCGCTAGCAGTTGGATCCTGAATGTTTGGAACATGGAATGACAAGGAAGGAGCTGGGACTTGTGGAAGAGATTGAGCAGTACTGGCTGGATATAGATGGACACGTTTCTACACAATAGCCTTAGCTCCTGGCGTTGAGCTCTCTTCATCACTGGAGAAAGGCGAAGACCCGATGCGGCTGGTGAACCTCAGACTGTCAACCTGTATGTTGAGGTTTACCCAAGAGAATGAAAGTTTCCTTATGTGCCCAAAAGCAGCTCAGAGTACCTACCCTTTCTGTGTTGAAAATGTCAGCTTGTTGTTTGCTGGCTCTCAAACAGAACAACAAAGAATCATTCATTCTTCCACTTACATGATTTGGACTATTTTTTGACATATATGAAATAAACATTGTACATACCGGTATTTCTCAAAGAATTTCCATTACAAGAAACTTACTAGGGTCTACTTACTAGGGTCTACTTACTAGGGTCTTCTAATGTCAGTTTGAGGTGTTTTATAGTATCTGTTGTGGAGACATTGTTTTTTACTTGATTTTGTTTTTGACATATTTAATTAGATATATGTTTATTACTGTGTAAAGGATTATTGGACTTAACCGTGTGAAATTATTGATGAAAGTTTAGCATTTATAAAAACCGGTATAACAGGTATATTTTGACTATATGTTACATTGGCCTGCCATAAACCTGATTAGAAACTTGAGGCCTGCCATACAACCTGATTAGAAACTTGACCAACTTGTCCGCCTCGCATCACTTCCTCGACATTTTGTGCACTTTTCACACGTCGATCCTCCGCCGCTGTGATTGCTTCGCCGATAGACGGGGGCGGGCTCTCACTTACACCATAGGCGCTATGATTGGCCATAACTTGATAGTGGGAAGCACTCGTAACGCCGGTGTCTCCCTGGTTGCGCAAGACGCCATTTTGGAGTGACAGTAAAAGGTAACGGAAAGATCGAGAAGCTGTGTCGTTAGAGGTAACAAACTTCAGAAACACGCTCATCTCTGTACCCTTAAATAGCCTAACGCGTGGTGGTTGTTACTATATTCAAATGACTCGGTTTGAGTGGCGTTTAACATTACGTGATGGTGTTCGCTTAGCAGTGACGCGGCAATTAGCTAATGGTAGCTAGCGCGCTACATCAGTTCCTGTAACTGGTGATCTAAGATCTGTTACGGCGATTTTTTTCAACGAGCTGAACATCAGTTCCACTGGTACTTGTCAATTATGTCAGCGTTACATTTCTTCATAATGTGTCGCTATGTGTTGTTTAAAACATTTGTTGGATGAATAGTTGTCCACAATCGGCTAGCTGAAGCATCCGCCCTTAGTGAAGCTAATAGCGCTTAGCTGAAGCTAACATCCAAAGCTACCCGTTGCGTTATAATTTGTAATACAGGATTTTTCTGTTATTATTTTTCTCTTAAACACTCATCAAACCTCTGTTAGATTAAGTTGGATTGGATGTCGAGCTGCTGTTTACTTTCACGCACAATAACACTTTGCCCAACCGGAGTTTCCCATCTGGAGCAGGCCTAATCAAGGGTTAGTTAGCTGTTAGGCTAATCCGGGTGAACGAGATGGTTGGATCAGGTGATCAAGTCTGATGAATTAAGATTAATTTTTCAGAGTTTTGTTTTCTTAAAAGTTAATTGAGGAACACATGGATTGAATATTTTAGTGTTTACCCAAAAGCTAAAACTCGAATATATTTAACGCGAACTCAACTTTTCTTTTTACCCTGACTCAGTTGAAAACGGTTCCTAGTTTCACCATTAACCTTTGTCTCCCAACTTCTATAGAACACATTTCTGTATGTACCTGTCATTTCCATATTGGCTGTATTGCCTTTTGTGAAATGCCTTCTGGAGTCTTTCTGTTTGACTTAAAACTTATGTTCCTAATGATGCTCCCTCTTCTGGTGCTGCAAAAAACTAACAGCCTTACATTTAAAGTGTTGTTTAGAATGTTGGATTGGATAATTAGATTTTATTTAAGATAAGTTTACTACATTTCATCCTTTTCTACCTATGTGTCACCCTGTTTAACAGTTTCCGTTTCTTACAGCTTTGTCACCATGGGGAATGTATTTGCAAGCTTATTCAAGGGCCTGTTTGGCAAAAAAGAGATGAGAATTCTGATGGTTGGGCTCGATGCTGCTGGGAAAACAACAATCTTGTATAAACTGAAGCTTGGAGAAATAGTCACCACCATTCCAACCATTGGTACGGATTTATTTATTCATGTCAGTAGTAGGGGTAGAGCATTATGTTGGGCTGTTATTTACCATTTTTATACATCAATAGATTTATATTTGTAAGGCCAATTTATAGTCAAGCACATCCTCTGGTAACATCTTTGTTCTTGCTGTGTAGTATTTCTAATTCCATGTTGTAGTTCTTTTTAAAACGCAGAGTAGTTTTGTGTTCCTGTTTTCCCGCTACGTTTCGTTTGCAGCTGCAAACTGCGTCGAAGTTTGCAGCCGCAAACGAAACGTAGCGGGAAAACAGGTAAACAAAACTACTCTGTGTTTAAAAAGAACTACAACATGGACAACCTCTGGTAGCTCGGTGCTGTTGCAGAATTTAATTTAAATGTATTTTTACATTTGCTGATAACATCAGCATAATATGTACTCTAAATTAACTTTATTTAGTTGTCTGACTTTAACACTGAACCATGCACAAAGTTGATATTTAACAGCTAGTTAAATTCAGTAAAATTAGATGGAAAATGTCTGGATATAGGCCATGAAAATGCCAATAAAAATCAGCAGTACGTGTCAGCTGTCGGCAGATCATGTCTCCTACATACTGGCATTGGTATCAGCAATAGAAAAACCATTATTGGTCAACCTCTTGTCAGTAGTGTTGGTTATTCTTCTTGTTGGAAGGCTGCTTATCTTCAGGCTTTTATGTTATAAGGATTATTTTTGTACCAAATATAATTTTAGATAATTGTGGACCAACTGATGAGTTAGAGTTTTTCAGAAGAATAACTGTCTTAAAATACCTGCACAGATTTTGGGTCATTTTTCTAATGTTCAACCTTCAGAGACGAATGTTAGCTCCTCAACCCTGTCTTGTCTGTACACACACTGTTGGTAAATTGTGAACACTTTTTAAAATTGTTGATGCCTCACCATCTTTCCTTCTCTGGTGTGCAGGCTTTAACGTTGAAACGGTAGAATACAAGAACATCAGCTTCACAGTTTGGGATGTGGGCGGTCAGGATAAAATCAGGCCGCTGTGGCGCCACTACTTCCAGAACACTCAAGGTGAGAGGGTGTACTATATTTCAGCTGGCTGTATGTTGCTGAGCATTACTGCCCATAGGTTGCTTCATTGGTGTGTGTATGAGTTTCAAACCAGTGACTCATGGAGCTTCATTCTGTTCTTGGCGTGAAGTGGGTCTCCTGTCCAGTGATGGCACTGATCAGAAAACAGCACTGTAGAGCAGAAATGCTTAGTTTTTCCTTCCAATTTTGTCAGCTGTGTGTGAGTGAGCTCTTTGTCTTGAGTGTAACGTTGAATATGTTGATGATGTCAAAAGTGTCACTTAAGAGAATGAGTTTCAAACAGATCGCAACGTTGAATTACAGCTCCGGTAATAATTTTATATGTAGACAGAAGATTTGGTCCTAATTCTGATTTCACCTGTTGAAAAGTTGCTGCTTGCTGCAGTCTTGTTAAGATAATAAATCGGAGGCAGGCTGTGGACGTGGCTGCCATGAAAAGACTGAGTCATGCATCTTTGTGTTTTTATCTGTTTTTGCTCTCAGCTGAAGGTCAACACAGCCAGCCAGCCGCTGGTACTTAAGCTGCATTAATGAGCTCCAGCTACTGTACAGGCCAAGCTTCCAATAAGACTTCCACTGGAGGGTTGAAATATTTGAACTCATTTTGAGGAAGTGTACAGGCCATGTAACATTTCCCAAACATAGTAACTAGGACAGGAAGTGATGTTGTCTAAGCTTGACAGAAACGTCAGCATCTGTGTAACACTTCTTACAATAATCAGAACTGTTTTTATTCATTTTTCCTCCCAACATAAAAACAGTTTAGCTGTATGTGTTTTGTCTTAATAGACTTTCTAGTACGTGATGTGATGTAACACACGTCTGTGCTGGGATAATCTGATACTGGGACTACATAGAGTCTGTGTTTAGGTTCACTCCCACCAGATCAGATTGTCTGTGATTAGGTTTGTTTACATTTAAAATCCTGAGATGTTTGGTTTTTAAAGAGCAAGTCACCCCTGCCAGAGTCTTACTCCACTCCCACTTCCTGTTTGAAAAATGCTGTTGCCTGGCAGACTGAAAGGGCGAAGCCGCTAACAAATACACACACACACACACGACACTGTGACCTCATAATGTACCAGCTGACATCATAGTATACTTCTTAGACTATAGCAATGGCAGATAAAATTTAAATGCAGTGCAGAGTTTTTACCTGACAACTGTGCAACAATGACAGTTTAGGCAGAATATTTAAATTTGAACTAAGATGCACTAAAGTGCCAAATTATTGACTGCATGCGTCTACAGCATGGTTAGACACTCATTTATATAGTTTATCGGCAAAAAAGAAGTGGATTTGGGGGTGACTTGCTCTTTAAAATCACATCCAGTTGAGGACGGAGTTAATTATGGGGCTGCAGCTATTGAATATTTAGTATTTGAATATTCTATTGAATCGTCCATCAATTCATTAAATATTTTAGTTGATGTTTCAAGTGAAATTAGATTGTAGGCTGCTGCTAAAATGATCCAAATAAAACAACAAAATGTAAAGGATCAGCAATACGAAATTGGTTTGTTTAGTTCCCTTGTTCCCAGCTGATTATATATTTCATTAAAACTTGAGGTTTATTATCACTCGTCCTAGTCTAAACCTATCTAAATTTATTCACATCTGATGAGCAGAAGTGAATTATTTCAGTAACATGTTCAGTAATAAGTTATTGGATATAATATTACATTTCTACTAGTAACAATGTAATGGTGGCATTAGCTTCTCGTGTGAAGTGTGATCTGTTATGTGCCATCTAATAATAAAGACAAGATGACAGCTTATCAAACAGCTTTTAATTAACTTTGTAACCTGTTAATACAAATGCTAGTCAGATGGAGGTACCTAAAAACCAAAAATAAATTGTACACCATAATGACTTGTGCTCACAAATGTATCCAGCTAAAATAGTCTTTATTTTTCTACTCAAGGCTCTTGTTCAGTCAGGAAAGTTAGCATTTAGACATGTTCTGAAGAAAGGCTTGCTCGTCTGAGAGCAGATGTTTCCAGCTGCAGAGAAGATGCGTTCCAATGAGGTGGAAGTGGCAGGAGTGCACAGAAAATATTTAGCCAGCTAAGCTTAGTGTGGATAAACAATCCTCGTTTTCACTCCATCTTCACTGGCGTGTTCTAATCTTCACTCGGGAAATGGCAGGACACACCTAGGTATGTCTCTGTTGAATGACTGGTCTACACATCAGCAGTCGGGGAGCAATTGACCGCTCTGAGGGTTTGCTTTACCTTAAAGGTAAAATATATAAAAGTTATTTTATTTACCAAAGTAATAAATCTGTTATGTCAAATAGGACTGCACAATATCGTACAAAAGTGTGATCTCAGTTCATACTTGTATGCAATTTCATTTCCAAATGATAACGATTTTAAGCAGCTGGCTGGATAAGAAAAGGATTATGTTCTGTTGTGGTCCTGCAATGGTCAACAATTATGTTGTCATGTTAAATGTTATATTTTGTTAATAAATGTGGTTTACATTTTACGAAACAAACCACCTACCTCTCATCGCCTTACAAGCAGAGAGAACATTGTTCAAAGTTTGTAATGTTTAAATAATTCAAAAGTTATGTATGTAAGAGACGAGAGACATTTGTTTTCATGTTCAGTGACAGCTGTTATGAAGTTGATGTGCAGGTAATAAGTGCAATAAATATTTATTTTGGAAAAAAATTGAGACTCGAGATCTCAATTCCTAGCACAAAAAAAGCGTAATTCTCATTTTAACCAGAATTGTGAAGCCTTAATATCAAATAAAGTAGGCTAAGATTTAACAGAGAAAAAAGATATTATGCTTTAACCAATATTAGCAAACTTTTCATTTTATCATAGAATGCATTCAGATGTTTATTTTATTTGTGTCCAGAGAGAGAGAGAGAGAGACAAAGATGGACAGAGAAGGCAATAAAATCACCATCACTACTGTTGTTGCTACGCCAATGAATACAAGTAACTCCCAGCAGCTAACGAAGTAATTAGCTTACAGGTGCAACTCTTTATTCTCCACCATGACGCCATTGTGCTCCGGTGAAAGTTTCTCTTAGCAGATTTAGCACTCTACATGCTTCTCGTTTGTTTTTGTAAAATGCTTCCAAACCTTTGAGCTACGCTGCCGGCGCGCCATGATATCTTGTTTCTTCTGTGTTTCTGATTCAAATGCTGATCTGGATCGCATGTGCCTCTAGGAAAAAGTGGCGACTGACCCGGACGTGACTACTGCACATGTGACTCGAGGAGAAAGACGGAGCAGGCGAGATTTAAAAAATGCTCATGGAATAAACGACTAGTTGACTATTACATTTATTGACTATTTTGTTTGCTGACGTCATCGTGACGCGTTAACTAGTCATGGCAGCACTAATTGTATTATGTACTGGTTGGCAATATAATCCAGTCTAAATTGCAGGGATGTGTATTTTTTAAATTTTGGCGATACATATCACGATACAGGGGAGACGATACGATATATTGCGATGCATTCAGTCAGACGTTACACGCAATTTTTTTTACTGAATTTGTTGTAAGAATGTTCAATAAACAGTCCAAACTGATACGTAACATGTTTAACATGAGGTATCTGAACCATGATGGAGGGATTTACATTTCAGTGGTGGAAACAAAACCCATTGCACACTGCTGCCAACTAGCGGGTGGTGATTGAATTGCACAAAACGAAAAGAAAATACACAAATGTTTTGCATGTAAATTCTTTCAAGAATTAGATACACGGCTTTAGAATATCGATATAATATTGCAGGAAAAAAATCACGATATTTTGCCATATCGATATTTTCTCACATCCCTACTAAATTGTATTCAAATATAGAGGTTTTTATGAATTACATGCTACAACGGCTTGTCATAGTCTGCTGTGGTGTGTGGAGCACTTGAGTCACTGACTCAGCAGCAACAACCTGACTCTGGGTAGCAGCTGCAGCGGTTCTGCCCCACACCGCTGCAGCTGCAGACGTCCACAAATAAATGGGATAGTGGAGATTTTTCTTCTGCTTGTAGATTCGCTACCATCACGCTTTTTTTCCCTGATCTCCACTTCATCGTGAGCGTCTTTCATGCTAGCTTAGCATTAGCCAGTCTTCCCGTAGTTTAACTCTTTATCCCAAACTTTAGGCTGTTTTTGTCTTTAACATGGGAAGGACTGCCTCCACCTTTTTACCACATTGTGTGCCAGTGAAATGTGCTCAGACTGTGGTGTGCACATTTAACGCTTTGAATCAGTACAAAATTAAGGAGTTTACTTGCTTTTGCCCCCCTAGTGTCCATTTGTAGAAATGAAACCAGAACCTATCTCCTCGGTCTGCATTTGTCTTTTTATCCCTTTAATCTCACAACTGAAGTGTCTCCCAGCATTCCTAAGTGTCTAGAGGGGTGATTCATTACTAAATTAAACAAATCGGCTTTGTTCATGATCTACAACATTTAGGAAATGTTCTGGAACCAGTCTGCAGTGCCAGGTAGGTTAGTTCAATTTTTTAAGTCCTAACGGACAAGACCAGAAACTGATGTTGCAAGTGTGATCTTCTGGCCACAGGGGGCAATAGGGGCTGGGTGGCCTTTCATTAACCCAGTAAAGGGTCATTTTGGCACGTACTGGCTCAAGAAAATGATTTAAAACTTTGAAAGTTGCAAAGTATTCCTTTATTGATTCTAACCATTTGATGTTTCAGCCCTTGTTAATTATTAACAGTGGTCTCAGAAGCCCCCTCCAACCAGGACACATGCTGAAACACAAACATGTTATCTGCTCACACATTAACTTGGTGTGTTTTTGCTTTCAGGGCTTATTTTTGTGGTGGACAGCAATGACAGGGAGCGAGTGAATGAGGCGAGAGAGGAGCTTTCCAGAATGCTTGCAGAGGACGAGCTCAGAGACGCTGTGCTGCTTGTTTTTGCAAATAAACAGGTAGGACTATCCAGGAGTGTTTAGCTACTATAGACTAAAGATTGGTTTTACTGTATTAAAGAGCTCATTTGTGTTTTGTATTTAAGAATGTCAGCTTTCAGATATCGTTGATGATGTTCACCTGCTCTTCCCAGGATCTCCCCAACGCCATGAATGCTGCAGAGATCACAGACAAACTGGGCCTACACGCTCTGCGCCAGCGCAGTTGGTACATCCAGGCCACCTGTGCCACCAGTGGGGACGGTCTCTACGAGGGTCTGGACTGGCTCTCCAACCAGCTCAAGAACCAGAAATGATCCATTCCACCTATTTGGGTTTTTGTTTGTTGTTAATTTTTTTTGTTTCAACACAGCGGCAGCACCAGACCCAGGCCCCCCTGCTCCCATCTGACCTAGTTCTGATCCAGCGCTTTCATGCTTTTCCTGCTTTCCCTTCTCGTCCATCCTCTCGGGGCTCGAGCTTGTGCTGCTCATGTGTGTGAGTGTGTGAGAGTGTGTGTGTGTTGTGTGTTCAGAGAGTGTGGGTGTGAAGGTGTGTGTGTGTGTTGGCTGGGATTAGGAGGAATCCCGGCGTGCCTTTTACACACCTGTGGAATCAGCAGTCTGGTTTTCAAGCCCCCCACCCCCATTCACCAACCTCATTCCTGCCCCCAACCCACCGCCCGGTCTGCCTCCACTCTCAGTCTTGCACGACCCCCTTCACCCCCCACCCTCCAGGCACGGGCATGGTTTTCATACGGCAAAGGAAGAGCAAGGGTGGAAGCCCCACCACCACTAAATCTGTTAACTAAACTCCCCCACCCCCTCCCACTAGATGTTGATTTGAGTTGTCTGATTTTGAACCGACCATCTTAACCTGTATCAGGTCAAAGCAAAGGGGCGCACATCCATGGTTGTTCTGCTGTCATCTGAAAATCATGCTGTTTTATTATTATTGTTATTATCATCATTATTATTATTAGATTGGAAATCTATCAGAATATTGTTAGCAGTGGCTCTCCAGTGGACACTACCCCCTGCCCCCCACCGCTGAGCACAAGGCAAAACAACAATCTTCAAAATAAAATAAAATTAGAGCCTGTTTGTAAATGGCACTTATCATCTAGTTGGACTTTAATTACCGGGAATTAAATTGGTTTCTGAGGTGTAATGAATCCTTCTGGTGGGCCTCAGACTGAGTTCAGGTGTCCTGATAATTCACACGCTTCATGTTTCAGATGTTACATGTTTTATTTTTTTCTTCTTGTATCAAGTTTTAGCATTTCTACAACAACTGCTGAACCAAAATGCATTTGAGCAGTGTGACAAATCCCGTACTTGGATGTAGAAAGAGCTCCTCAAAGGGCCTGAACTGATTTCTGATGAGATTTTTTCTCCAACGGTTGACAGTTTTCCTATGAGCCCTGAAAGCATCCAGCAGTTTGGTTTCTATGGTCGGGATGAAGGATTTGGCACCACATATGAAGGCTCTCCTAACTGTGAACGGTCGAGATGAGAAGAGAAACGGCTGGAACAACAGTGTTTGCAGGTTAAAGCTTCTCATGGTAGCGCGGCACCTGTCTGGCGCTGGCGGTGAGCTGGAAGGACTTGGTGGTGGACCCGTTGAGGGAAGTCGATGTGCTGAAATCCAGCAGGAGTCCTCGGTGTTGAACATGGGGGTTGAGCTGGCACTTCTGTCAAGAATGATTGTAAATCTGTAAGTTCCCCTGAAAACAGTTTCTTTGGGGATTTCCTGAACACATTAATAAACATGATTTGATCCAACATCTGGAAGAAGTTGTTGGCTTATTTCCTGGTTCTGGTCTGTTCCTGTCATCAAAATGTTTGATAGTTTTTGTTAGAACTCAAACCAGGAGCCCACTTCAGCAGCACAGAGAAACCCAATGTTACCTCTTCATTAAAAGCTGTTTATTGCTGCAACACACCTGGATGTGTCACCTGTTGGCACACACTACCTGAATAAATAGAACTTGATTCAATCCAACTCTTCCTTGATAAAATAGTTCAGATCCAGTTTTGTACTTTTGAAAATAAGTTCTTTAGCTCAAATTCGCCCCAACCACAGTGTTTTGAGTGTTTTTCCAGTTTTATGAATCTGGGGGTGCTGTTTGACTTTAGATAAAATTATACAATGAGTTCATTTATTTTGGAGTGCAAAAATGTTCAATTTAGTGTTCATTGCTAAATAAACAAACCTAGTTTTCTCATTGAAATCTTTTGTTCAGTTCAAGCAACAAACACTGTAAATGGCTGCAGTCCGATAATGTTCTAACAAAGCAATGAAGTTTCTCACACTTTAATTAGAACGTTCTATTTGATCAACAAGAGAACCCAGTAGTGTGCTAGCTGCTGATCTCAGATCAATCTCAGGTTGTCTTGAGATTTAACTTCCAGACTTTCACAGCTGGATAAGGTTATTAAAATGGACGTTAATCTAAATTATACTTAAAAAAATACAGCTTCACAATGCACAAGATACAGGAAACAAGAACCACAATGTTATACATGACCACAAACAGACTCTAAAATTAAACTTTATTATTAAACTATTAAAACAAGCTGATAATGTAAAAAATAAAGAAAGTATCCTAAAGATGAAACAACAAAAAACTGCAGTCCTGTTTATTGGGTTAAAAACAAAAACCAGGCGGAAACAGAAGTCGGGGGCGGGCGTAAAGCCCCGCCCTTTGTTTCCGTGACGTCGAGTCGCCGAGCGTCTGTTTGCTCCACGTTAGTTAAGAGAAAGGGAATAAAAGTCTGGAACTCCGAGCACCTGGACGCCAGGTGTGTGGACGCTGAAACCCGGTACGTTGACAGGTGAGTTATTTGACGTCACACTGGATCAGGTGCGTTTACTTTAAACCGACACCAACCTTACTTGTCGGTTCTACTGATTTTAAATCGTCATTGGGGCGTTTGTTTCCTGCTCACCTGTATTCATAAACACACTAACCCTGACCTCTGACCCGGAGGGCTCCTGCTCCATTTACTGAAAAACTGTTGATGTTTGTTCTTTCACTTCTGAATCTGATTTTCATTTCAGATAAATTCATGAGATGTGTGTGTGTGTGTGTGTGTGTGTGTGTGGATGATATTTAGTTCAGATCTGATTACAGTTAGACATTTTGTTGATTTAACCAGATGAGTCGGTTGAGAACTCATTCTTCTCATTTGCATCGATGTTCGCTGACATAAAATCAAGGCATTGGTGAATAAGGTCAACAGAAGACTTAAACGTCTGTAAAATTTATGAAACTTGTCTTATTATAGACAAATATAATTATTCAGTTAAAATCCTGATTCATTTAGTTGTGCCCATCAACCATAAATCAGTGTTTGTTTCTATGACAACGGCTTTGATTTATTTCTGGATCAACACAAAAACACATAGTTTGACCAGATATTTGTTTCTGAGTGGTTTGTGTGTTTCATATTTTCACTTCTAAGGGGAAAAAAACCCATTGAAAATGGGTTAAAATGTTTCTGTGATATTTCTTGAGATGTTTTTGCTAATTTAAATGAGAGCAAAACAAACCAAGCTCTGTTGATCCAGAACAATCTCTAAATGACAGGGGCAGGGCTGGGTACGTTTATACTTCTCCCTACCCCCTTTTGGACACGTATACTACGGTAATGGTATAATATCTGTTGGAAGTGACCAGACTGGTGATTTTAAAGGTGTTTAAGGTTAAAATTTTATTTGCTGTTGAGAGGGGATATGTTCATGTCACAAAATAAATGAATAAAAATGAACCACCTTACAGGATTAACCTGGAATAAAAATATACATATCAGATTTAACACAAAAACACGCAATATTCAACTAGTTCCGTAGCTACAAACTCAGAAGTTACTGCTTTTATCAAAATGAAGTGAGGATTACATTTGATCCAGTGTCTACAAACAGAAACATTCAGGTGAAGTCATGGTTCTAGGGCAGAAAAACGCATATATTTAATCCAGTTTCACTTTCTGTCAACAACGTTCAAAGGTGTAGAATAAAAAGCTGAATTTATGGTTTTAATTGCAGCTTAGAACCTTTTAAACAGGAAACACGAGCAGCAGAACCTTTGTAGGTTCAGGTTGACGGGTGAAATTAGGACTGAGCTGAAGGCGTCGGTGGAGTTTGGCTCACTGCCGCGCGAGTCTGTTTTCAGAAACGAAAATGTAACCGAAGCATGTTGTTGTTCTGGTGGCTTTGTGTGTAAAATGCTCTGGTTGGCGTGCAGCTGCGGTTTGTTTGTTTCAGCTGATCTAAAAATATAAACAACAGTCACCCTAATACTTTAAACTCCAGATCAGTCATGTTCAATTCCTGCTTTTTCAGGCGTTCAGCTTCATTGTTTAACTGTGATGTTTTTGAGTCAGACACACGTTTAATTCAGCAGAAGATTCCAGTGCAGGGTTGTAATCTGGAACTGGTCTAAATGCCATAAAGATAAAGAACCGAGGCATCCAGTGTGAGAAAATCACTGAACTGCTTGTAAACAAAGTTCTGTAGAACATCAGGAAGCCTGGATGGTCTCTGATCTGTGATCTGGACTCTCTCTCTCTCTTTGCAGCGCCTGTGTGTGGTTGAAGGTGAACCTTGACCTCCTCCTCCTCCTAGCTAACATGATGGAGGTGACTGAACCCTGGACTGAAGTGTTTAGCGGTTCTGAGAGGACGGAGTCGTCCGGTGAAGCAGAGACATTGAGCGGCTCCTCTCTGACTCTAACTCCTCTGATATCTGACTCCCCGTCCGTCCGGCGCTCCCAGCCCATCCTGATCCCCTCGAACAGGTACAACCTGCAGCTCAGAGCGGACATGGAAGTTGTTGATGGACTCGGTGACTCTATAATCCGGGTGTTTGAATGAGAGGCTTATTTTCCATCAGCTGATTCTCTCAAACTGCTTTTCTTCAGCGGAGACGAAAACAGCTAAATGCTGTTTCTTTGTTGAATCGGAGTTGAACTGTCACTAAATATTAGCTGAAAGCAGGACTTCCTTCTTGTTTGTCTTTTGAGGTCTAAAAATAAACCACCATTAGTCAAGGTCAGGAAGGTGAAAACATTCTAACCCGACTTGCCCTTGGGCTCAGTGTTTCTGAATCAGCTGATCGGTTCCTCAGTCCTGAATTTGAAGTTGTTGTTATTTTGTTCCTCAGGAAGGTGAAGTCGCTCTACTCGCCTCACTCCATTCCAAACCCATTTCCAGAGCTCTGTGGTTCGTCCAAGTCTCCGGTGCACATCAGTTCTCTTCCACCAGAGTCCAGTGACAAATATGTGAGTGCTGATGGACTCCTCCAGAGTCTGGCATGTGGAGGAAATCTATTTTTAAAGGTCAGAAGACCCAGAACCATCTAATATATGAAGGATTTAATCAAAAGCTGAGGTTCCTAATAAGTATAGAAGCAACACTTTTGTTTTCTTTATGAGGTTTTTGTTTGAGGAAGCTGCAGGATAATTAATCTTTATCAATGTAGTTCTTTCACAGAATCATAAAAGTGCATCACAAACAATAAAAATGGTGTAACAAACAACCACATAAAATTATATAAACAGACTACCATAAACCAGTATAAGCACATGCCAACAAAACATAAGGACATAAAAAATTCAGTTGAAGGTCGTTTATCGTGCAAAATGCACTTTTTGGAGCTTTTGGCCATGTTTTATTGTTTCCTCATGAAAAACACACCCAGAGCAGTTTTTGGCTTCATGCATGCATTTTCCTCTCTCGGCTGCTTCTTTACTTTAGCTCTGCAAATTTTTGCTAAGCTTTTGTAAACGACTGGATGGGGTTGTTGCTACGTCACAACAGCCTGCTCCTTTCCATTCAGGTAGTGGATCTGGATCTTTCCTCCCTTGGACTGTACACACTAACGCACAGGCTCTCCGTGTAGCTAGCTGGGAACTTTTGATAATGCCTAGATTTGTCTGTGAGAGGATTAGGATCTAAATATATGATCTTCTTGAAGAGTTTGGTCTGCAGAAATGGTTGGATTTTGTTCTTCAGGAGTTCTCAATAACTGAGCCAGAATGTGACCGTGACTTCGTAGCCTACATGTTAAACCCACACCAACTTTGTGGGCAGATTTTCAGCAGAGCAGGTGGAGGGGTTTCTTTTCTGTAACAGGACAGTAATTCATCGAAGGGTCACACGATTACAAGTGGAGCATGTACACGGTGAAACCAGGTACTGCAGAGCACGGTAGATGATGGAGAAATGTTTGCCCTGATGTCTCAGATCCTGTTTACAAAGTGCCAGAGGAATGCGTCTGCATCTGACTTACAAAACTCTGGAATTTAAGGAGTGGCGAGACAAGCGGGTTTGTTGTCTCAAACAACTTTAGGATTTCTCTTGCCAGAGGAGATGAACAATAACAGAATGTTCCTGTGAGAACGTTCCAAGATTCCCATCAGGATCCTATCCTGACCTGCTGAGACAGTCTGATCCGGTCAGCGGGTGATGGGCGATTGTTGAGACTGACAAGATGGCTGTGTGGTCACACCAGCTCCGAATTAACACGCCGAGTCAAGTAAAAAAAACACAAGGTGACTCACAGTTTCTCTGAGAGTGTTGTCACCCTCCCTGTATCCTGAGTAGGGGTTGGATGACTTAATTTTTTTAAAGTCGACAGTCAAGTAATGAAAATCGAGTCGACTTCGACTAGTCGTTGATGACGTCATACACCTGAAGCGGCGGGGGGTTCTTTAGGTTCGCTGGAGTTTTTGACAACTAAAATTGCGCCCACATTTTCAAAGTTAAACACATTTCTTTTAACAACGGTAGTTCCTGCTTCAGCCCTCTCCCCCCTCCTCCTGCTTCAGCCCTCTCCCCCCTCCCCCTGCGCAGCGGCCGCAAACTCATTGATGCGCCTGCAGCCTCTCAGAGTTCCTGCTGCTCTAAACATTAAAATAATTATTTCATTTTCTGTTCCTCACTTCTGATTACCTTCAATGGTGTCTGTTTGTTTGTTGCAACCAGCAGGTACAAAAACTAACTTGTTTTTATTTGACTATTTTTCTGTCCTGCCTGTTTATTATCTTCCTGCATCTCCTCTCAATCCTAAAGAAAAACTGTTACCTGGGTTCATTTATATTCACCTTATGAGTTACCTTTGAACTGCAGTTCTAAAAGATCTACCGACCGCAAAAACAGTGGAGTGCCGCTGCTCGCCCCGACTACAACGGGACCGTTTTTGCTGCGGAGTTCGTGCCGGAGCGGAGATAGTGGAATTTTGGGGGTGCGTCACCGGAGGACAAAACAGGTGATGCGCCTCGCTCCGCAGCAGCGAAACGCTTCAGGCACAAATAACAGACAGAAAACATGAAAGGAAATGAGCCAACATGAACGATCGCGTGTTTAATTTGTTTTTGAGGTGGTGACACCTGATTTGGCCGTGCTCAGGACGCAGATGTCTGGAGCGCGTCAACGATCAGAGCTTTGCATGCGCAAACTGGTTATGGTTAGGATGGGGGTGAGGGGAAGGTTAAATTGCAAGAGGGAAAAGGTCACAGTTAGGTTAAATGTCCGTTTTACCGCCGGTGTCCGTACCGACGCTTTGGCACAGCGCGTCGCCTCCGCCTCCCGACGCAGGGGCTCATCACCTGCTGGAGGACTGCATCTTGTCAGTCATTATCATGTGACAGCGACTAGTCGATGACGGGCATAAAAAGTCACTACAGAGCCGTGAAGTCGACTAGTCGACTAGTTCATACAACCCCTAGTCCTGAGTCCTGTCTACAGGTGTCTCCGTGCTTTTGTCTTGCCTCTGTGGGACCTAAACTTTCTACAGATGGACTGATGTAGTGAAGACAGCTGTAGTGTAAACGACTCGGGTTCTGAGATCCATCCTCCCCTCATTCCAGCCAGAGTCAGAACTATTTACTGGTGTGGTTGTGTCTCAGGTGGAGCTGACGGTTTTCCTCATAAGTAGATTTAAATGAAATGTACACATCTGGGAACCAATAATAATTTAAAATGTGTTTTGATCTACAGACAAAACCTGCCTAAAGAGTTGGAAAACAAGGATCCTAAATACATATGTTTGAAAATGAAGACATTTTGATACGAGAGCAACATTAATGGAATATATGTTGGAAACTAAAATAATTAAAATAGGCATGTTGGGTCAGCAGTAGCTCAACAGGTTGAGCGGGTTGTCCAGTAATCGTAAGGTTGCAGGTTCGATCCCGGCTCCGGACAGAGAATTCTGCTGTTGTGTCCTTGGGCAAGACACTTAACCCACGTTGCCTGCTGGTGGTGGTCGGAGGGTCCGGTGGCGCCTGTGCTCGGCAGCCTCGCCTCTGTCAGTGCGCCCCAGGGCAGCTGTGGCTACATCGTAGCTCATCCCCACCAGTGTGTGAATGGATGAATGTTACACTGTAGTGTAAAGCGCTTTGGAGTCCTTACTCTGAGAGGCGATATACAAGTGCGGGTCATTTATCATCTTTCATTAATGATTATGATAATAATATTAATAGTGATTTACATCCTAAAGTTGCTTGGTGAACTGTTTCTTACCCATTAAGTTCAACAGTTTGAATAATGAATTTAATTTAGTTTTTAATGTCTTTAACCAACTGAAGTTCATAACTGGAGCAGCCAGAGTGTCAGTGCTGCTCATCCTCTTTGAAAACTGTGCAAATACCTTTTCTGTAAATGTCAAAAATATTAACAAAATAACTATTTGCTTAATTATTTCTTTGAAGAAAACAAAGATAATGTTTAGGCAGAAATGTCAAATAAATATTCTACAAAATAAATACACAAATAGAATAATTCAGGGTAAAAAAAAATGTAAATTACCATACTGGAATGATTTCAGCCATCATTTTCAGGAATATATCAGGTGTGTTTTTTACGGCATAAAAGTATGGGGGGAGCTTAAGGTTGGTTTATGCTTGACGCGTCCGCGAGGTTCTCACGGCTCCGCGCGGCAAAGTTGTGTCATTTTAACAACCACGCCCCTCCACCGCGCTTCCACACGGCCCAAACTTTCCACACCGCGCACCTAGGAGATTTTCGAACCACACGGACGGTTTGACGTGGAAAAACATGGCGGACCGGCAACAACTAGTATGGCAGAAGTTCGTAAATACAGACATTTGTATGATTCAGCTCTCAAAGATCACCGTGATCAACGTGTTGTTAATAATTCTTGGAGAGAAATAACTCTTACTGTCGGAAAAGACGAGGACGAGTTAAAGAATGCTGGAATGCCATGTTGTAAACAACGGTAATTTCATTTCTACTATGGTGTAGTGTTGGATGCATGCTGTAGAGCTCCAAGCTGCCCCCTACAGTTTGGGAGAATATTGGCTCACCGCAGAGACAAGCCGCATGAACCATAAACGCTGCAAGTTGTGAAGCGCGTTCCATCCGCAAGCCTCATCACCAAGCAGAAAGTAAATGTGTCGAGCATAAACCAAGCTTAAGGGGGATGCAAGGCTCTGCATTAGGTGGGCTGCTGCCCCCTATAGATCCACCCCTGGACAGATGTGGTTTTCCTCTAAAGGAACACTCCTCCTCTGTAATCCTCTAGTCAACATGTAGCCTTTATTACTGCTGACTGACGCTGGCGCTCGCCCAACCAGTCTGCTCCTATTTATCGACAGGTTCCTGGTTGGACAGGTTTGCCGTCTTAAGCTGTAAAAACACGCTGCTGGATGCAGACGTGGCGTCATTGTGGCGAACGCTGTAAGAGGCATCCTGATTGTTTACTAACCTGGTCTTGGGTACAAACACATGGCTGCTTCTCAGTCTGATGTTCGTCCAAAAACAGAAAAGATTAAACATTTCATTAATAAAAGGTCTTATTTAAAAACCCTAGAATATAAAAACGTCAAAAGATTAAAAAATGTGAAGTACGGTGCATCTGGGGAGTATTCAGAAGATCAAGTTTTCCATGTTTTGTTGTTTCCGCCTCATTCTAAATTGAATAAATTATAATTTTTTTCACTCATGATTCTAGACACCACACCGCTAAATGTCCCGCAGTTGTCTGTGAGGGGTGGGTGGTGCTCAGGTGGTCTACTGCTTTGTCAGTGTGACAAACTGGAGGTGTGGTGTGAGAGTGAGATGTGTGTGTGTCACACGTTCAATGTGTGAGACTTGGCTGCCCCGATCTTATGAATTTGAGTTGATATTGAGATTTAATTGGAGATTAACATATAAGGCCTTAATTTTCTCTGTAATTTTGAAGTAGGAGCAGGTTCACATACGACTTTTCTTCTTCCTTCTTCTTTTCACTTGTGTATGCAAGAATAATACAAGAGGAGGAGGAGAAGAAGAAGAAGAAAATATATTTTCTATAGCACCTCAAGATAAAAATCATGAGGTGCTTCACAAAAACAATAAATATAAAAATAAAAAAAGAATTTAGAAAATGGTTAAAAACATATTTAAAATGAGCAAAAAAAGAAAATTGTGATTAAAAATGTAAAGAAATAGGAAAGAGGGAAACCAGTGGATCCTGAGGAAGGTGGAATAGGTGGGGAGAGCAGAACAAGGAGAGGTTGAAGAAGGTCACACAAAAGCCAGCTTGAACAAGTGAGTCTTCAGCTGCTTTTTAAAGGAGACCACTGAGTCCACTGATCTCAGGCTCAGGGGGAGAGAGTTGCAGAGTCTGGGGGCCACAGCAGCAAATGATCTGTCACCTTTGGTCTTTAGCCTGGTGCTGCACAACCAGTAGGCTTTGATCACTGGACCTCAGGGACCCGCTGGAGGTGTTGGGACTAAGAAGATCACCAATATAAGATGGTGCTTGTCCATGTAAGGCCCTATAGACCAGAACCAGGATCTTGAAATGAACCCTGAAGTTGACTGGCAGCCAGTGAAGCTGGAGGAGAAGCGGGGTGATGTGGGTCTGTTTGGAGGACTTGGTCAGAAGCCGAGCACAGGCATTCTGAACCACCTGTAGACGGTTCAGGGAGGTTCTGCTCAGACACGTGAAAAGAGAGTTACAGTAGTCTAAGCGTGAGGAGATGAAGGTGTGGAGAACTGTCTCAAGTTCAGAGCGGGACAGAATGGGACTCAGCTTAGCAATGTTCCTGTGATGGAAGAAGGAAGAGCGAACAAGAGAACTGACATGAGAATCCAGGGTGAGAGCTGGGTCAAAGGTCACACCAAGATTCCTGACAGAGGGTTTGGTGTGAGAAGTATGCTGACCAAGAGAGTCTCTGACTTTGGGAACCAGCTTGTCTGGGGCACAGATGAGGATCTCAGTCTTATCTTCATTCAGCTGTAGAAAGCTCCCAGCCATCCAGGTTTTGATAGAGTCTAAGCAGGTGTGTAACGGCTGCAGCTTAGACGTCTCATGGGGCTTAAAGGAGATGTACAGTTGGATGTCGTCTGCATAAAGACGGTAGGAGATTCCTTTCAAGGAGCTCAGGATGTGCTGATGAGGAAGCAGATAGAGGAGGAAGAGCAGAGGCCCCAGCACAGAACCTTGTGGGACACCATGGGTAAGAGATGTGGTGGAGGACCTAAACTTGGAGACGGCCACAGAAAAGGAGCGCTCAGAGAGAAAAGAGGAGAACCACTCCAGAGCAGATCCTGATAGGCCTACCCAGTCTCTCAGCCTCTCCAGTAGCAGGTGATGGTCAACAGTGCCAAAGGCTGCAGTCAGGTCCAGCAGGACCAGAACAGAACAGTCCCCTACATCACTGTGAGTCAGAAGGTCATTAGAGACCCTAAGAAGAGCTGTTTCAGTAGAATGAGCTCTACGAAAACCTGACTGGAAGCTATCATAGATGTTAAGAGTACATGTTTGTGATTCGATGGAACTAAAATTAATGTTTTTAAGATTCCAATTGTAATAAAACCATCTTTCAATTGGATGATTTAATAAACCTTTAACTGAGGTGAATAAAGGAGAACATGTTTCCTGTAAGAGATAAAGAATGTGTGCGTGTTTATTTTTAAATTGTGGTCCCTGGTTGATATTTCCTCAGCTGGTGAAGGTCTATGGAGAGGAGAGCTACAACAGGTCGGTGTGGGTTTCTCGTCGGGCCACAGCCAGGGAGGTGTGTCACATGTTGGTCCAGACGGCTCACTGCAGTGATCAGGAGAACTGGGCACTGCTGGAGCATCACCCTACACTGGGCCTGGGTAAGACCGAGCCGGAAAACTCACCAGAACCATATAAATCTACATGCTTGGGTTACACTTTCATTTTCTTGTCTTTCTCAGAGAGATGTCTGGAGGACCACGAGGTTGTGCTGGAGGTTCAGGCCACCTGGTCTCTGAAGAGCGATACAAGATTAGTTTTCTGTAAAAACTACGCCAAGTACGAGTTCTTCAGGAAGCCAGTGGTACGAAACCTCCCAGGAGGATGAGATCCAGCTCCCTACACGAGTAGAGAACTGTCATTCATTAAACCTGTTTGTACAGTCCATGTTGACAAATCCTGATGGAGGCTGTTGATCCTGTTTGATGGACATGTTGCGTGCCATTGCAGACAATTGAAATGAGCACATTTGTTCTGCTCTCAATCCTGCTGGTTTCAGTTGTGTGAAGCATGACGGCACCACCTTCAGAAGGCTCCGACATAGTGGGATTTAAATGTAGTGATGTCTGAAACCATCAACAACCAGAGCCTGAAATGACCATCTTTCCTGGTTGAACAGTAACATTGTAGTTTAGGTTTTTTCCTGATCTTCTCACTCATCTCACAGCTCTTTTTCCCGGAGGCCATGATCTCAGACAGCGCTGATGTTGGCAAGGGGATGACGCCTTCAGAACTTATTCAGGTAAACCAGAAACTGATTTGAAGGCTTCATCATATAAGACCGCTGGAAGACATCTGTGTGTCTATTTTAAATACATATATACATTTGATTTGATTGTTTATAATGATTAGTTTGACATGTTTATATCTTTATTTAAAGGTATGTAACAGCATTTTTTTTTACTTCCCAATAATTTGGTTTGTAGTTTATGTTTTAAAATCTAGAACAACAGTCAGGCTTGTCACTGCTCCTTCTTCATCAGAGGGAGCCAGTTAAGGTGGTTCAGACACGTCCCACAGAGGAGATCTTGGGTCAGAACCATTCATCAACCGTACTTACAAACAGATCTGTGTGTATTTCATGCGTGAGACCGATTTTACGCATTGTGTGGTATTTAGTCATTTGTACTTGTGCGTAAAAATGATCCTAGATATAAGAGCAGCTCTAACCATGCATAGGAACAGCATCTAGTGGTAGAACGTGGGAACCGCAGTACTGAAGGTCTCAGTCGTCCACACATGTTCCTCATCCATAAATAATTTAATGTCAGTGGGAAAACAGCTGTTTTGCATAACTGGTGCTAAAACCAATAAAAGACACCTGTGACCGATGGGAATCTGACGTAGTAGATTGGAGGATTCGGAGGGGCCGTGTCCTCCATGAGCACACTGATCTCCTGAAGGAGATCCTTCTAGAGCTATGCTGTGATTTGGGACCCTTTGTGGATCGACAGACCACACAAATCCGATTCCTATTTTATTTTACAACCACGAGAGCCCTTCAGAACCTCCTCTGCTCCCTGATCATACACGCCACGTTGATAAGGTTAGCCAGACTGAACGACAACTCAGAAGAAGCTGCACTCTCGGATCACGTTTCCAAATAAAACCAACTCCAAACAGAATGACTCCTTAAATGTAAAATGTAAATGATAACCTGTTGCTCTACGATTTATCAGACTCAATGTTTCATTTATTCCTGACAGGAACCTCTCCTGTGTGTCGACCACGTTTATAACTGCTGCAACTTGTTTGGTTCGTTTGCACGTTGGCAGCCAGTGTCTCAATCAAGTTTTATTTATTTATTTATTTTTTGGGGGAAAATCTCAGGGAATTCCCCCACATGCAGAGGATGTACGTAGCAGGACCAAATGAGGTTACTTGAGGGGGTTTCTGTATGTAAATGGCTCAGAATGAACATGAGCACCTGGGTACGCACAGGTGGGATTTATCATCAGACGATTGCAGAGGAACATGTGTACAAAAGGCCACCGCATGTTTCATAGATCAGGATTTTGACTGTTCATGCACACATTTTAAATTAATTTTGTGAGAAGGAATATAGGATAGTTTCTACGAATGTTTGATAAATGAGGGCCCTGGACTCTGGAGAGAACATCTAACCGCTGGTCTGGAAACAGTTTGGAGAACTGTTGCTGCCAAAGCAGCCAGGACCCAGCTATGGATGGATGAGCTAAAGCAGATATTTAGATGATCCTTGCTGACTGTATGTTTTAGACACATTTAATGAGTTGAATGATTTTTCTTCAACGTCTAATTTTAATGTGAAACATTACTGAGGCCAAATTCTGTTTTGTTAAAGTGCTTTATGGGTTTATTGGCACTGGTATGATTGTCTTTTTTTCAGTGATCAGGTCAGATGTTTACATTTTATTCCACAGAACCTGCTGAGGTCTGGAACGTGTCCAGAGATCCAGGGTTTCCTGCAAGTTAAAGAACCTGGTCGAAAGACCTGGAAAAAGGTCTACTTCTTCCTCCGACGCTCTGGTCTCTACAGCTCTACCAAAGGCTCGTCCAAGGTCAGCAGATTCGGACTAATCAAACTGGTTTCATTCAAGCAGAACCCAGTTTACTGGTGAGATGCTTCTAAAACTGTGTTTGGGTTGCAGGAGCCTCGACACCTGCAGTGCGTCGCTGATCTGAACCAGCTGAACGTCTACACCGTGGTAAACGGCCGTAAACTGTACGGCGCTCCCACTGACTTCACCTTCTGCATCAAGGTGAGACAGAACCAGGAAGCAGAGCAGTCATCCCAGACCGGTGCTTCTGCTCCTGTGATTTATTCTACCTAATATTACAGAAATCCTTCCAAACAAGCTCCTTTAGCAGAATGAATGTTTGTGGGGGTGTAAACCTATGAGAAGGATACAAATCTGAAATATTTTGGTTTAGGTTATTAGGACATTTATTTGAGTAGTTCCTTAACATATTTGTATTTGATTGTGTCAATAATATGAAAAATGAAATGATAGAGTCTCCAAAGGTGATAAAAGTGATGCTTTAGAAAATTGTCATCATTTGGAGTCAATTCATAAACTGTGCATTTTTATTACAGCTTTCCAAAAACCCTGTTCGTGTCCAGGACCTGAGGATCCTGTCTGCAGAGGACGAGTCGACACGAACATGCTGGATGTCTGCATTCAGACTATTTAAGGTGTTTTTAATATATAGATTTTTTAATAGTAAAATCGTTTTTATTCTGGCTGCTGTTGAGATGCTGACAGGTAAACTCTGACTGACATGTGTTCAGTATGGGAAGCAGCTGCAGTACAACTATCACCTATCCAAACTGAGTCCACATAGCCTGGAAGGGTCCCATCTGTCGGATGGAAGAGTGAGTTCAACATTTGATCCATTTTCTGGTGTCTGCATGCTGCCGGGCTAAACTCTACTTGTTCTGGTTTGTGCAGTCAAAGTCCGAGGACAGTCTGGTGGCCATGGACTTCTCAGGGAAATCTGGAGGTCGTGTGATCCAAAACCCAACTGAGGCTCAGAGTGCAGAGAGGGAGGAAGGACGGGCCTGGAGGGTAAGGACAGGGGACACTTATCAGATTTACAGTCAGAAGCCCAGAAGCACCTGGATCAGCATGGACAAGTCTGCTGCAGCAGACGTCAGGCTTTAAGAGTATTATTTCCTGATTTGGACATTCAATTCAATTCAAGTTTATTTATATAGCGCCAAATCACGACAAGAGTCGTCTTGAAGCACTTCACAAAGTAAACATTCCAATACAGTTCAGGGGTCTCATTTGCCAAACATAGCGTAGAATCCTTACTAAAACCGTACTTGAGCTCAGCAAAAAAATCTCCCGGGTGTAAGTCACGTGCGCTAACCGGTCAGCCAAATGGAGATCTCCCCTGTACAGGTAGCCAGGGCGCATGATCAATCGAGTCACAGTGACAGGACACACACTGTCACAGACGCATGACATTCTGTCTCAATCTGTCCCCCTGTCCGTATTCTGCGCTTCAGTGTGTGTGTGTGTGTGCATGTGCGTGCGTGGTCTTGTTCTGTGTGAAAACGAAGCAGTACAAGTGATAATGCTGCAGGATTTCATAATTTTATCCTGCTCAGCAGCAGCACTGCAGGTGCTCTCCATGTCCAACATGTGCGTAAGCCAGGTCCTTAGTCAACTTAAAGTTGCGCACATTTTTCCACTAAGTTTTCTTTCACGAATCCCAAAGTTTGCGTGGAAAGTTGCTCACGCAGTTTTCCGGCCCCGTTTTGTGTGTAAGCAACCTTGATTAACAGCTTGATAAATGAGGCCCCTGGCCATTAAGCCAGTCAGTAAAAAGTTCCCTATATAAGGAACCCAGCCGATTTCATCTAGTCACTGACTGGTGTCAGTGTCTTTACAGCAGTCCTCATACTGAGCAAGTATTTAGCGACAGTGGAGAGGAAAACTTCCTTTTAACAGGAAGAAACCTCCGGAGGAACATGGCTCAGTATAAGCAGCCTTCCACTACGACTCACTGGGGATCGAGAAGACAGAGCAGACATCTTGCCTCGAACTGGATATCATCAGCGTAACTCTACCATTAACTCCATTTGCTCTGCGACATGGATGTTTTATCTCCACAAAAAGGAATTCCTGCTGCGTGCTTTAGTTGCTGATGTTAACAATTAGCTTCTGCTAGCTGAGATGATCAATGCTGTTTCCTGGATGTTAAAACAACAGCCTTCCCCGTCATGAGCCAAGATGGGTGAGTCCAAGCGACCACTTGATGTAGATGTAAGGATTTTTAAAGCGTTTCACCGTCTTTTCTATTAGAAGCTAATGCAGGAGATAGATGTAGGAGACTATTCTCATCTTCAGCCTGCATGTGAAATTCAGAGTGATTGATTATAATAATTACAAATTAAACCTGATTTAGAACAGAGCTTTAGTTCTTACACACAGGTTCTTGTTCGACCTGTGTAAGCTGACAAGTACCCGTTTCGGTTTTATGTGAAATCAGACTAGAGTTGATTAAATGTCCCTCTTTGGAAATTGTTTATCAAAGAAATAGCAGAAAATGTAGAAATCTAGACAAACTCTTTCAGGTGAAAACACCTGATTTAATGTTCCGTGATCTTTTCTGTTGACTGATTTGAGATTTTTTTTCTCTGACAGAAGAGAGAAGCCCTGAGGTGCAATCTGCCCAACATGAACTCAGATGCCAGACCTTCCTGTGAGTCCAGGTCAACCAGCTTGATCGAGTCTTTACCCAGAACAAACCCTAAACACGTCATCTCTTCTGTTTGCAGCTGTCCACTGCGGCCAGCCGTGGTTTCATGGTGGCATGTGCAGAAGAAAAGCTGAGAGGCTGATCGAGAAGCAGGGCCTGGTGGATGGGTGAGTGTGTGTGTGTGTGTGTGTGTGTGTGGGGGGGGGGGGGGGGGGGGGGCTAACTCAAAAGATTTTCTTGTATTTGTGAAGATTTTAAATGTTACTGTGCAGTTTTTGAGTTCGAATTCAATTCAAAATACTTTATTGATCCCAGAGGGAAATGGATTGCTGTAGTAGCTCAGAATAATAATCAAGTCATCAAAGAGTTGTTGTATATTCCAATGGCTGTTGGCAGGAAGGATCTCCAGTAGCAGTCAGTGTTGCAGCCAAACTGAAGAAGCCTCTGACTGAAGACACTCTTCCGTTGTCGGACAGTCTTGTGAAGAGAATGCTCAGGGTTGTCCGTAATTTTCTTGATTCTCTGGAGAATCCTTCTTTGCATTATCTCCTCCAGTGGTTCCAAAACTGCAGATACTCTGGCTGAGTCCTTGAAAGGGCTTGGAGTTCCTCCATCTTGTTGGCCAGTGATCTCACATTGTCCATTATGATCGATGGAAGAGATGGTTTGAATTTCCTCTTTCTCTGTCTCCGTTTTGCTCCCGCTCTGCATCCACTCTTCTCGCGTTTTAGCTCATTTGGGATTTGTGGCTTCAGTTGAGGTATTATTTCAGCCTTTCCAATGTTAATCAGCTGCTCCCGATTGTAAACCAGCTTGTTGTCATGGTTACGCATCATAACAAATGCTCAAAGTGAAAAAAGCTAAAAGAAATAGCAGTAAAAATCCTCCAGGCTTCACAGCACCAGAAACAGAAAAGTAAAGTGTCCAAAAAAAAAAAATACAGTTTTTGTCAACAGAGCTACTCCAACATGCAGCCACCCAGAGCAGCACAGTTCTGGAAAAAAGAAGACAAGACATAAAAGTACTCCAAGTCTAAAATGGTGCCTGTGATTCCTTTGTTACTATAATTATTTTCACTTGCAGTCAGTCTGATAATTTAGGTTACCAAGCATAACTGGGATCACTACTGAGTGATTTTAAGGATATCTTTACTCACAATGCTAGTTGGATCCATTCACTTACTGTTTTTTATGCCAAGCTAAAGCTAAAGGAGTGCAGCTGGGTCAGGAGAATGACTGGGCTGGTTAAAAATAGTTTTTTTCCCCACTTATAAATATGTTAAAAGACAAAAATTCCATTTTGTGTGGAAAATCCCTTTAAGTACCTCCATCCGCTCTTGAGTCAAAGAAAAGCCCAATTCTAAATAGTCTAAAGTTGATGCCAAAGCCGTCTCAAATGGAGTTGTTTTAGCTCAGTCGCAGTAACATCCCGCTCACCAAACCAAAAGCGCTGTGATTGGCGAGGCGCAATGCTGGTCTGGGCTGCTGAGGTTCTAATGGAGCGAGGCTAGACCAACACACAGAGCGAAATCAGTTTTGCTTCTGCTGCGGTCTGTCTAGATTTCTAGGCTATGGTAACGCTTCAGTAACCCATAAAATCTGCGTTTCTAAAGGTCAGGTCTGGGTGATCAATTAATGTATCATTATCAAAATTTCTGACTCTAACCGATATAGTTTTTCCCATGTGAATAAATTCAATGATGGGGGAAAAAAGTGAAACGATGTTTTTAGGTTTGCAACATTCATGTCCCTTTAGGAAACTGTACCACCTCAAGTCACATGACTGACTCAATGTGACGCACGTGACAGCCCCATCTAGTGGACAACTTATCTTTTGCACATACTTGTAGTTATCGTCGATGTGTCATTGTCGAAGTGAACTCCTCAATATGTTGTACTGATTTTAGGCCATGTCGCCCAGCCCTACTAAAGGTGAAAGATGGCAGCTGTATAAACAAACACTATAAGGAACAGACGGTATAACCAAACTCTTCTTGAGGGATTTTGGAGGAGAAAGATTTTCTACACAGAATGCTAAACGACATTGGGCTTAAGATGTTAGCTTTGCTGGTTTTTCCTAAGAGGTTTAACCCTCTGGGGTCGTGGGTGTAATTAGCCGTTTTGGACTAATTTAGAGTTTTCCTTTGTATTTCCAAAATATAAACCATAGCCACTGCCTTATGTGGTCTCAATCTTTTCAGCACAATCTGGACTTTATGAATTTATACTTATTTTTTTAAATACTTGGACATAAAGGGGTTGCATATTAGACCTTAAATCACTCAAAAACATAAAATCCGACTTGGAAAAAAGTTGTTTATTTTACTGTGAAACCAACAAACATTTATGACGAATGTTTTTATTAATTTAGAATGGTAATCTAGACTGTACATTTATAAAAAATATGAATAAATATAACAAATAACACATTTAAAAAAAATTATTAGCCCTCTGGGTTCCAGGGTGTAAATCACCGTTTTTGACTCATTTTGGTTTTTCTTTTGTATTTTCTAATAAAAACAATAAATATTGCGTTATGGGGTATCTTTTTTTTCCCGGACAACCTGGACTATCTGAATTTCTACATATTTTATTAATTTGGCAATAATGAACATGCATTTTGGAGTGGGGAGTGGCTCTGTCTCACGCCGAGATCTGACAGCAGTTGGATCTCCGAGGAGCTGGATCTCTGCCTTCATCCTCTACCTCATCATGACCCAACTCTTCTATGAGGAAGGATGGATCTGCCACATCCTCATCAACATCCTCGCTATTTGCCTCAGACTCTGGCTGCGAGTCTCCGTCCACTTCCTCTGCTTCCAGTTCAAAAAACAGCCGTACTATCTGAACTGCTTGGTGAACATTTATCCTACTCATCATCCTTTATTAAAGCCTAATAAACTGCAGAGACAATATATCTGTCCGGATCGCTCCAAAATATGAAATTTACCGTCAATATCTGTCTAATTGTTTGTTGTTACTCCGTTTGCGCCACTCCTTTCCCCGCGAAGCGGCTCCTTTTTGCGCACATCTCGTTACTCGTGCGGCCTTCCCCTCTCTCTCAGCTACATAATGATACTTTTTATCAGTTGAATATGTGAGACATCCACCAACAGCAAAAGGATCTCATGTTTTTGTGGGTTTTTTATGTTCACAAGCACGTTCCCTCTCACGGATTACTAAACTGCTGTTTGACAAGTTATCAGATTGTCTAAAAATAGGTTGATTTTTAGTTTAGTATAACTCCGCTTTTACATTGCCTATCAACACAATTTAAAAACTGGGGTGTAGTTTATAATCTCCTTTTTAAAGAATTGAATTGAATTGAAACCGAAACTCAGGGAGGTGGAGTCTTGCTGCTACAACGTCCCAAATCAGACCTGTTCAGAAGACGCGTATACACGTCCTTGGACCCTAGAGGGTTAAATGGTTCTAATAGTCGATGTGTCAGTGAGAGCGGTGGCTCCTGTGTTATAAGTTATGTTCTGTTGTGTGTGTGTTTCTGCAGGATGTTCCTGATCCGTGACAGTCAGAATCATGAGCAGTGCTTTGTCCTGTCACTGTGCCACCAGCTGAAGGTCAAACATTACCTGGTCATCCCGGTGAGCTCCGTCCCCCCTTATGAGATCCTCTGCCTAGCTCACAACTCTCCTAACGCCCGTTTCTCTCCTCCCTGCAGTTTGAGAAAGAAGGCATGAATTATTTCACCATCGACGACGGAGAAACACTTTTCATTGACCTCCTGCAGCTGGTGGAGTTTCACCAAGTAAATCCGGGCATCCTACCTGTCCGCCTTAAACATCCTTGTGTTTGCATCGCTCTGTGAGTTTCCCCCCGCCTGTCTGCCTCATGTGGACAAACACCAGCTGAAGGCACACAGCAAAATCGAGTGATGAAGCTGTAACACTCATGGGAGGTGTCAGCCAGAAATGAAGTATGTCATCTGCCCCGCCTCCATTTAGGTTCTTTAATTATTTTCCACAACATGTGCAGCTCCAGACGCTGGCTGGTTTTTATTTCTAATTAATGAGGAGTTGTCCCTTCAGAGACCGCTTAATTAGCCATGCTGGACGTACCTTTAGCACCACTGGGATGTTTGTTGAAGGAGGACAGTGAACTTTACTGTTATGCACAGATATGATGGGAAAGTTGAGAAGAATTGTGGCTGGAGCAGAGAAGATGGAAGGAAAAAACAGCCATGGCCACCAGAGGGCGCTGTGAGTCTGGCCGGGATTTGACACCACCTTACCTCTTTTGCTTCATTTTGAATTGTGTGCGGAATCGGCTCAACTTCGTGTGACACTGCTTCATTTGCACAAACTCTGGGGAAGGGGAACTCGGTGAAAGCTGCAACAGGCTGATGTTGAGACGAGTAAACTCTGAGCACCCAGAAAAACATTATTTGTATTGAAGTAAAATGTTTCCTACCTCTAATGCTCAGGAAGAATGTAAACTGTTTGTCAAACTTGTAGTTTTCTTTAAATGATGAAACTGAAATTTTGTTATTCAGCCTAGGTCTTTAATTTATAAAACACTTCTCCTTTCCTTCAGTTATGTGGAAAGTTAACAGTTAAGCTTCTAATTGTTTCTGTGTATTAAATCATATTTTAATAGTCTGTTATTGTGGAGATGCTGGTATCAAATCCTGTTGATTTTTAGGTTAAAGTTATTTTCTGATAACTTATTGAAAGTTTGGAGGGAAATATTCACCAATGAAATAAAATATACCTTTCTATGATTGGATGGAGTGCTAATGTGTTTTTTCTGTTTGCTTCCAGGGAAATTCGTTGCTAAAATCCTTGCAGATCTACATGCCATTACATTTGACATAATGTGTCAATGAAAAATGTTTTGAAGATATCTTAAGTGTTTTTCCACCATTCTGAAATTTGAGTCAAAGTTAAAAATAATTCCTCTCTATCCTATAGATGACCTCCAGGAGCAGAGACCAGTAATCAGAGGGGTTGCCCGATCCATCCCAGCTGTAGCCAGGGAATTCTGCTGCTGTGTCCTCGGTCAAGACACTTCAACTAACGTGTCTGTGTTGGCGATGATCAGAGGGGCCGATTGCAAAAAATGGCAGAATAGTGGGATAGGGTGGTTTTAAATGGTGGAAATCACTTTAGATGCCTTGAAAAGTGCTATATAAATCTTAATTCATGGTTATTATCGAACAGCCTTTGTTTACAGAAGACACTGAACTAAAGACTAATCTAAACGGCCCTGAATGAAGGCAGCTGGACTTGTTTGGTTTCTTGAAGGCATTTTGCTTCTCATCCGATGAGCTTTGTGAATTCTGACTGGAATATGGGAGAGTCAAGCATATAAACTGTAGCTTTCTGTTGTTGCTTAATGAGCAGAAACTACCTATGAATACCCCTCTGTCCTCATCCTGATGAGTCATTAGCATCTATTGTGTGGGAGTCATATTGATTAGATGTAGGAGGGTGTGACCTAGACTCAAAATGTGACAACGCTCCTCGGATGAGAAGCGAAACGTGCGCAAGAAACCAAGTCTCAGTCTAGGTCACACACTCCTGCATCTAATCAGCACAACACTGTCGGCGTGTTTTGGACATCTTGGAGTTGTAAATGTACAGTTGGAGGCAGCAATTAGAGTCATTAATATTAATGATAGGCAAACGTCTGCTTGGCTAACAGAATCTCAGCTACCACTGAGTCTGTTTGCTTCTAAACTGTAGCTTTTATTTCCACAAATAACTCAAATCTGGATATACTTAATAAAAATTGTTATCATTCATTTCTGAGAAATGGATAAATAATACCTTCCTGTAATTAGATCCTCTTTACTAGACCAAGACTCTAAAGACAAAATCAAGGCTTTAAGAACTAATGATCTAAAATACCCGTTCCTAGATACCAAGAAATCTGTTTAAAATCTTTAAACAATATTTATCCATCAAACACCAGTTTATCAAAACTATGTTGAGAAATGCTACTTGTGCAAACAGGATGGGGATTCAATTAAAGATCTCTTCTACGAGTTTGATGCAATTCGAAATCTTTTGGGAAACGCTTGGTTAGTGGCTTCACGCCAGCACAGCTCACATAAACAATCTGTTGAAGATATTTGTTTGGCATTAAACTGATTCATTTGATCATTTTCTAATCATTACAGAATTCTTTATGCATAAATGTCTATACACAAACCCCTCACATCTGAACTACACTTAAAAATAAAAAATAAATTGTTGTTGAGATAATTAAATAATGTCTACAACGCCACAAACCCCTATATTGTTTATGTAACATTTTGTGAAGTTTTGTTTTATTGTTTTATTTCTTTTGTGAAAGTAGTTAAAAATATATCAATTTATCCTTTTGTCTTTCATTTTGGATAGTTTCATTATGTTATGTTTATACAGGCTACCTCACTACAAATGTCAAGGCAGCAAGTAAATGGTTTGTTGGAGTTTTTACGCCAAATCTATCGTCATGTTCTGAATAAAAAATCAACTCTGAAGGAGTTCTGCCATGCTGTTGAGTTACTAATGCTAACGCGAGCTTCTACTAGCCACGATGTGCTCTGCTCTCTCCAGGGCACTAAACCCTCAACAGCCTTCCCCGTTGTGAGCCAAGATGGGTGAGTCCATGAATGCATATTTACAGTTTGATGTAGATGTCTGTGGCTTTTCTAATCTGAACGTTTTCCTGCCTATTTTCTTTTGGTGGCTAATGCAGGAAATAGGGATTGATGACGGTTTTCATGTTCAGCCTGCATGTGAAACTCAGTGGCTGATCATATTTTGAAAATAAGTGATGTTTCTCAGATAATGTCCGCTGCAGTTTGCTCATCGCCATGGAGTTAGAGTTGAAGATGCCACCATCCAGCTGCCTCAACCAACCCACTGCCATCTGGACAAAGCAGGCAGCACTGTCCGGGTCATGTTCTTTGATTTCTCCAGTGCATTTAACACAATTCAGCCTGATGTACTTTACCAGAAACTCCAGAAGACACAGGTGGGGGCCTCAACTATCGCCTGGATTAAAGACTACCTGACAAACAGACCACAGTTTGTGAGGCTGAAGAACTGCACATCAAACCAGGCGATCAGTAACATTGGAGCACCACAGGGGACTGTACTCTCACCATTCCTTTTCACCCTGTACACCTCAGACTTCCAGTGCATATCAGAGACCTGCCATCTACAGAAATACTCAGATGACACTGCAGTCGTCGGGTGTATCAGAGATGGACAGGAAGCTGAGTACAGAGAGCTGGTGGAGCGCTTTGTGGCATGGTGTGGAAACAATCATCTGACCTTGAACGTGAACAAAACAAAGGAGATGATTTTAGACTTCAGAAGAAACAGGGTGGAGTCAAACACTGTTTCCATCATGGGAGAAGAAGTGGAGGTGGTTGAGGAATACAAATACCTTGGAGTTCACCTGGACAACAGACTGGACTGGAGAAAGAACAGCGAAGCCGTTTACAAGAAGGGACACAGCAGACTGCACTTCTTGAGGATGCTTAGGTCCTTCAATGTCTGTAGCAAGATGCTAGTATTTGCTTGAGAAGCAGTGTCACTGAAATCACATAAAGAATAAAATGAACATCATTGTTTCCTTTAGTTCCCTCTTGCATATCAGCTCTGTGAAGAGATCATAACCGAACGTGTTCCCAGAACTGGTGGAGCTGCAGGCGCAGAGGTCCCTGCTCTGTTGTTCTCAGATCAAACATCTTCAGTTTGATGTCTGCAGACGCTAAAGAGCAGAACCCTCCTGTGACCCGCTCTCTCTGTTCATGCGTGTGTGGTTAAACATCCATGTGCTCACAGGTGCCCTTCATGCCGCTCTCTGCTGAGCTGTTGCCATGACAACAGTTTTTTTTCTCTTGGCCTCGATAGGCAGGTAAATTAGAGGGTAAGAAAGTAAAAAGAGATGGGTCAGGGAGGCTTCAAAGAGAACTCTGTAGAGGTGTCTAATAGTTAAAGATGAATGATAGCTGATTTAATTTGTGCAAAAGAGAAAATAAAGCTCTGAAAATATGACCACGTTTCACCAAGTGGGATATAAATTCAATAATGTCTCCAAAAGAGATGGGAGGCTTTAATGCTGGAATCAAGTTTTCACACACTGTGCATGAGAAGAATAAAATAAAACAGGACTTGGTGTCCTAATTTATTTCAGCTACTGGCCAAGTCTTGCAGAGTAACTGGAGAAGAATGCTCTTTGGTGAGATCAAGGTTTTTAAATGTTACTTCTGTTTTACAGGTGAAATGGGAAAAACTAGATTATGGTCCAAAAGTCCATATTTTTTGGGGGGTCTGTAGAGGACACAAGAAGAGGGAAGAAGGATGAAGCAGAGAAGGAGGACCAAACAGTCAGTTCATTTTCTCTGCTGGCTTGTACATGTTTAGCTTTGCAGGAGGAGGAGGAGGTATCCTCAACAAACATCTGAACCACGTGTCATGACCTCTGCGTTCCTGAGCTCCGTTTTAAACCACCACACCATGGACAGCTCCTCGCTCTGGCCCCGCTGAGACAGAGGATCAGCACCATGGAGAGAGGCACGCTGAGACGCACCCTTCCCGCCGGCCCGCTGACACCAGCTGTGGATAATCAGCACTCATCAGGACTCCAGAGAGGGAGAGTTGAAGAGAGTTGGAGAGAGCTGGAGGGAGTCGTGAAGAGAGTCGTGGAGAAGAGCAGCCAGAGATCGAACAGAGACCGAGCACACGAGATGAGCAGCAGAGGAACGATTCGGAGAGATAAGAAACGAGAGACGAAACGAGGAAAACCTGTGACCGCCTTTTTGCCACCACCAGAAGGAAAACCTGAGAGAACCAGAACATTGGATTTCACACCGACACAAAGATCTTCCCTAGAGGAGAACCACCGGCTTCCAGAGAAAGAGAGAGAGAGAAAGGGAGAGCGTGAGATGCCGGTCACAGTAGGAGCAACGCAGGACCAAAAAGGAGGAAAAATACCCCAGGGAGGGTATTGTATGAGTGTGGGGCCTTGCCCAGAACTTTATTTATTCATTCAAGAGACTAGATTAAACAGACCTCTGGCTTTATTATTTTCAAGGACCTTATTTACACCAGCCAGGGACAATTTTAGTTAATAAACTCCTTTTGAACTTTTATTCGTCCTCCTGTTTGCTCCCACCACACTTGTGTTGTCCCTCCTGGTAATTCCTAGGCCTGGAGGGGTGTAACACACCTCAGGTCACTCCTGTTGATGTGAATGAATGAATGAATGAATGAATGACCCACACTTGTATAGCATCTCTCTGACAGAGGCAAAGCTGCTGAACACAGACTCTACCAGTCTCTCTGACCACCAGCAGGCAAGGACAACACTGACATGACTATAGGAGCCTGGGTTCAAACCTGCAACCCACCAATTACAAGAAAAACTCCAAACCCCTGAACCACCATCGTCCCTTCATGGATGAGCCGCAGCTCTCTATTCAAGTCTTTATGGCCCTGGACAGCATAGCTCCTCGGATCATTAGGGCACTCCAACTCCTCCACCACAGTTAAGATACCCTACAGCTTTTTACAGTGGTGGATGAGTTGCACTGTCCAGGAGCATAACGACTCTTGAGTAGAGAGCAGCTGCTCCTCAACATCAACAGGAGCCTTCTGAGGTGGTTGGGACATTTGGTGATGATACCTTCTGGATTTCTCACAGGGGAGGTGTTTCAGGCATGTTCATCTGAACAGTTATTTGTTTCATTTATTTTGTTATTGTTTTATCATTGGACTATTTATTTTAATACAATAATTGTTTTGTGTTATAGTAATTCAAACCAACCGGATTGCGATAAAATTCCTCGTTTCGTTGGATGGATTTGAGGAATCCCTTTTCAACATCGAGTTTTATTCTGAAACTTCAAACCGTATAATATCAGGATGACTCATTGTAAGGTTATTTTATTCGGATGGTGGAACAGGAGGGGGGCAATTATTTGTTTCAAATTTATGTTCTTTTAGCTTATTTTAATTATTTCACAGTAATTAGAGAAGCACTGCTGCTTAAATCACATTAGGAGGTACCAGGCAACAATACAAAGGCAGTGATTCAGAACTGTGCCACACAGAATTACAAATGTAAATTATTTTAGGAAGAAGGGTTATCATTCTTTTGCCTTTTGGGAGTTTTACTTAACCCCATGGCCCTCAGCTAATAGCCTCTACAACTGAATATTTTTCCTGTTAAGATTATTTCTGAGGAACAAGTGAGGTGACATTTAATTTGTTCAACCTGATAGAATAGAATTAGAATAGAACAGAATAGAATTCAACTTTATTGTCATTGCACATGTACAGGTACAGGGCAACGAAATGCAGTTTGCATCCATCCAGAAGTGCTTTAGCCGTGATATAGATGTATAACAATATATATTAGCAATAATATAGATGTGTTAGTATATTACAGAAATTGATCTTTTACGTATGTTATAATGTACACGGTATGAAGTATGTTATGAATATTCTATAACTATAAGTATGTACAGGCTGTAGTTAATTCAAGCAGTCTATGAGTTTAACGTGGGCCATATGTCAGGAGGCAGAGTTCAGGAGTCTGACAGCTGTGGTGAAGAAACTGTTCTGGTACCTGGTGGTCTTAGTCCGGAGGCTCCTGTAGCGCCTCCCAAAGGGCAGCAGGGTGATCAGTGCATGTGATGGGTGAGTGCGGTCTCTGATGATTTTCCTAGCCCTTTTCAGACACTGCTTCCTGTAGATGTCCTTTATGGCAGGAAGTGGTGCTCCAGCGATGCGCTGGGCAGTTTTCCCGACCCTCTGCAACGCCTTCCAGTCCGAGGCGGAGCAGTTCCCATACCAGACTGTTATACAGTTGGTCAGGATGCTCTCGATGGTGCAGCGATAGAATGATGACAGTATACCTAAAAGATCCTGGGAAGAATGTCCAATAACTTCATGACTTTCAAACGAGTTTATAAGTTAAACGTTTTTGCTGGTTTCATCAACTCCAGCCGCTGCACTTTTCATCTGTGGTTTACAGATATTCAGTTGGGAAGTCAAATGAAGCCTCAGAAATTTCTTTGAAGGGAAACATGGTTCCATTAACTCCTAACGCAGGTGCCAGGTCGGAGAATCTTCTCAGTGCATGCTGGGAAAAGTTCAGCTGCACTGATTTTGGGTTTAAGGTCCGATGCAGATTTGTGATTCGCGTATAGCTCCGACTCACCAATACCGGCTTCCCTTACCTAAAATCAGAATACATTCACGTTTAATTAACACATTTTTTTTGCAGGATTGTAATTCAGAAGGCTGCTGAACAGAAAGAAGCATTATGTGCTGAGATTGCAGACAAGGAGCAGCAGCCAGCTACAGCACCTTCGTCAGGCAAATCAGAGGCAGTCAAGGCAAACAGCTGAGAGAAGGTGTGTGCTCTTGTCACCGAGGGACTTTGGAAGAAGAGAGAGTTGACCTTTTAATGCATCACTAAGTCTTTATATCATTGCAGAAAGCCACCTTTATGCTCATAACAGCAACGTGTCACAAATGTTTAATCTATTTCAGTCTTTGTTTTTTTAGAGTTCTGTGCTATTATTGTAACAAGACCCTTAATTAAATCAGTTGGTGCTTTAATCAAAACTGACTCCAGTTCTTCTAAATAAAACAAAGGAAGCCGTGGCAATTTTAAATATTATTTTTTAAGTTATCTGCATGTCTCTGCTCTTGTCCTCCAGAGTATGTCATGATTCTCTAGGAGACTGGAGCGAACACACCCGGACACAGGAGGAAGTTAAACAGTTTTATTAAAAGTTCAGCGGGCTCCCAGTATGGTGGAGGAACTCTGGACGGGTTCGCGGAGGCGGTTCTGAAGGGGAAACAGAAGGTGAGTCGAGGAGCAAGGAGGCTGTGTTCTGATAATAGAATTGAAGAAGGAGAGCTTACTGGTCTGCGTGGCGAGGAGTGTTTTGGAGGAGAGGTGAGGTCCAGTGTGGTAGTGTGGCAGGCAGAGGTTGAGATTTCCTAGGCACGCTGGAGGCTTGAGGGTGGACAGGCAGGTGGAGAAGAGGAGGATCCAACAGGGCATGGATGACAGAGCTGAAGCGCTGCAGCCAGGAGGAGCACTGGGTGAAGCAGACACCACGGTTCAGGGAAGACGCTGGGAGATCCTGGGAACTCAGAAAGTCGGGCCGGCTGCGAGACTAAACATTACTCGTGAGAAAAACACTGGGAAGCACAAGGAAGCACAGAGCTGAGCTGAGCTGAGCTGAGCTGACCTGATCTGATTACCAAGCTGTGTGGCTTAATCATCTGGCATCTGCTTTCCTCCTCCGGCCAGCTTTAAGTGCTCCACCTTAATTGCCTCTGATCGATGGCACCTGGTGCGGCCTGCCTGTCACACCTGAGGAGAAGAGGTGAGGAACCACACACACACACACACACACACACACACACACACACACACACACACACACACACACACACACACACACACACACACACACACACACACACACACACACACACACACACACACACACACACAGAACCTCACAGAGTCCCCTTTACTGATGCACTGAGGGACACCTCATCAGCTCTTCTGAAGACCTCTGCACCTGTCTCTGGGTCTGCGGTTGCTGCTGCTTGGTGTGATTTATGTGGGGTTACAGTAAGTGCACATTCAAAGCATCCTGATTCATTATTCAGCCCTTTGGCCAGATGTAGCAGGAGAACAGCTGCTCTACCTGACATCAGTCAGTGTGGTGGTCAGGAATCATCATCTACCTGCCGGTACCCCGTCTGCTCTGTATTTATTAGGAAATGCCCAACTGGTAACCAGAATCAGTGGATTTTCAGTTCAACCAGCAGATCAGGAACCCAGAAATATGATATTGCACAATTCTTCATCCCTGAATGCACAGTAGTTGAGCTCCAATTCCTGTTATCACAGCATGGGACAGCAGTGGCTCAGGAGGTAGAGCGGGTTATCCAGTTCATAATGTTGCATGGCTGTGGCTACAGCTCATCATCAAAGCGTGTGAATGTGTGTGTGTGAATGGGTGAATGACTGATTGTGTTGTGAAGGGCCTTGGGGCGTTGTAGAACCCTATTGCACTATACAAACACAGGACATTTACCATAACATGTTTCATTTAGGATGATCACATTCTCTGCTCAAACGGGAAATCTAACAAGATTAAATGTGACTTCAAAGTAAACCAACATGGTGGAGGAGGAGCGCTGCACACCTCCATCACCTGGTTGTCTAATGGACTAACTGTGACATTCAACAGGCAGCACGTGCATTTGTCCCCCCAAAAATGACCAAGACAATTAAACTAGCTTTAAAGCCTACATTTATGAGTGCAGGGATCCCAGCGTTCTCACGAGCAGACCAGAGCACTCGTAACACACCACACACGGTAGCATTATCTGATAAGATTGTCTTTCGAGCCGTTACTATAATTCTATGCATCCCTAAGATTGTCAGAAGGGGCGGGGCTGGTCAACAGTTGGTATGATTATCCTGCAGCGTGAACCAGGTCTAAGGTTCTGTCTCCTCTCTGCTGCTTTAGTTGGAGAGAGTCTAATAAATGCTCAAACGCACAGATTATTCTGTCCAGGATTATAGTGTAGCGTTATGAAGATCCTATTGTCTGCCCTTAACAGCTGCCCCTTCACACAGTAACAGAGTGCATGAATCACCAAGGTCGGGTGCTTGTTTCTGAATGTTTCCATTCCAGGAAAAGAGACAGAAGAAGGAAGAAGAACGCTTTTCATTAATTAATCAAAGAACTTTGTTTGTAATAAAGCTAATCAAAACATATGTTGATCAATAATAATCAGGCGACTGATCTGTGAAATCAAAATGTCATGATTTATGTGTTTAATGAATAAACAGGACTGTGCACCAGACATACTGATCCACAGAACATAAGAACGCATGACACATTGTTTCATCCAATCAGAGCTTCCGTCTGTTGCAGGGCAGAATCTGGGCTGTTTACTTAAATTGTCCACTCCGATTTGCTAAGATTTATAAACAACTAAGTTAATAAAACAGAGCAACGCCATTTAAAGTTCAGTTCCATCTGAGTTCCAACGGAGTTACATCATAGACTCAACGTAGTTTCAACCAGCTCTCAAATCACCATCGCTAAAGGAGATTACCGTCTGGCCAGCTGTGTTTTTCTACTTTTAAGCTGAGAACTGTCAAGCTGGAAATTCTGTCATTTGAACAACAAGACAACGGTTCCTTCAAAATAAAAGCTGAACGCGCTGAGACCTGCCACTACTACCGGAGCTATCCGTAGACAGGTTTTGTCGTGCTGCAACACTGTTTCATCAGTCCAGTACCAAGGAGATCCGAGGACCTGACATTCCTGATCTGAACGCGGGAGACTCCAAAGGTACGTAGATTCGGCAAGATGGCGTTTCATGTCATGAGCGTCTGAAGCCCTCGTGGTTTCTAGTCATAACATCAGACAACCAGATCCGCCTGCCTCAGCCTGGAGATTCTGAACACACACACACACACACACACACACACACACACACACACACACACACACACACACACACACACACACCAACACTTCAACATTCAAATCCATATGCATCCATCATAGAGAGTTAGTCCTGGATGATTGTTTGAATTTATAATTATAGAAATTAAAGATTCTTAAACGATCCCAACTCTCTCTTTTCTTGTCTCTAAGTCAATACAAAGTGTTTAAATAAAACTCCCTGCGGCCTGAGGGTAGACGCACCTGAGCGGCGGATGAAAAGTGGCATGCGAGCTAAAGCAGGAACGCTGTGCTGAGATAAAACCACGCGGACAGTAAGTGTTTTAGTTTTCACCACCGAGTTTAATTTATAAACTTTAAAAACGGAGGGTAGTTGTTTCCGAAGAGATGCGGGTGAATACAGAAGTCAGCCGTTCTGGGTCATTGTTACTATCTTCTAAATGGTATCTGCTGACGTTTCAAACGTTGTATCCTCAGGGTGTTACTACACATTGTTTTGTTGTGCTAATATGTAGCCGTAAACTCATTTTTAACTGTAGTACGTGCGGCGGCTCCGCAGTACACTTTCAAAGTAGAGCAAGGCTGAAGGCTACTAATAAACGAGGTATGTTCAACATCAAACCTTAGTTCTCTGTGTCACGAAGGTGTCTCTCTTTTACCCTGGCCACATCACCATGCTAGCTGGTGCAACTAATCTAGTCTGGAAAATAATAACAGTTTTAGATGGAAAGCATCTTACAATTGCCCCTTTTTTCGCTGAACATCTCCTTTGAAAGTAGCATCATGTGAGTCACACTAGTAAAGGTAAAACATGCTAAATGAGCCATAGCTTGTGATGCCTTGCAGTTACAGTAGCTCACTGCGGGTATGTTGCCAAGGGAACTAATTAAGCATACAGTGATCGGAAAGATTTTGTATTGATGCAGGTTGTCATTGCTCATACTGAACTATTGAAACTCCAAGTAGACAATCGCTCCATTGCTCATTACCATAGATAATATCTAAGTAATAAAACAATCGTTATCAAGTTCTGATTTGCCATAGATAAAGTGATTTTATAGGTAGGCTATCATGTAAAAAATCTTCTGCATAAAATGTATAACTGAGTGTAAAAATTCTAATTTCATTTTCATGTGGTTTAGAGGTCAGCTATGGATACTCGGCTGCGAGAATTTTTAACAGAGCGCAAAGTTGAAGAAGATGTGATCAAGAAACTTGAAGATGAGAAAGTAAGCCACTGCAGCTGTTGCTGTGTGCGTGCGCGTGTCTGTGTGTTTGTTTTTGAACGGAGATCCGCAATCCACAATTTACTATGCACATTCTAAAAAAAAAGTATTGAATTTCATATTTTTGTTTAATCAATGACATTAATTAATGACATGATATGTTTAAAGATTAATTTAAAAAGTAAATCTCGTTCATCTAATGTTGGACAAATGTGTACCACATTACCTAAAGTATCTGTTATCAAAAGTAGATAGCAAAAAACAACTCTAAAATATGCATTTGTATTTATTTTTTTTATTTTTTAAAATATTGACAATTTTATTAATTTGTTGTTTATATTTTTCAGATTGATGAAACTGTTATTCCATTAATGACAGACAGTGACCTGGCTAAGTACATCCCCAGACTTGTCGATAGAGTCTCCACTGTGGCCTTCTGCAGACAAGCAACACTGTCACGGACATCACCATCCAGGAAAGAATCTAGACTCTCAAAGCGACGACAAAGACTGACAGGAGCTGAGGGAATGCCTCCTAAAAAGATGTCTCATTTGGCAGGAAACACAAATGGAAAACGAACAATACTAATCGCTGTTGGCTGGATGGATTTTGATGAGAAGAAGGGTGGGTTCAAACAGGTGAGGCCTGTAAATGGTGGTGGAACAAGGCATTTATCTGTAGATAAAAATGAAACAGTGTCAAATATCAAACTTATGGCTGAAAATCTTTTTTTCCCCAATGGCATCTCAAAAAAAAACAAAAGTCTTTCACACTATTTAACTGATATTGAGAGCTCACAGATGCATTCGGTTGCTTCCTGTACAGTTGGTGAGTTGTATAAGCAAAGTAAGGTCCAAATGCTGCGACTTTATCTGTGTACCAGAAAGAAAACACAACAGCAGCCCCAAGACGTAGAGGCCGATCATGAAATAACCCAGCCCTCTGTGGTAGATCTCACTGACAATGAACGTAATGTGGATGTGTACTAAAGCTGCCCCTTGGGTATCACAGCTATCCAGACTTTCGTAGTGAATTTAACAGCATTCTCGCAAGCTCTATGTGGGTGATGGATGTGGTGTAGGTGAGTGTTACCCAACCTTGGTCCTCAAGGCACTCTGCCGTACACGTTTTAGGTTTTCCACCCTAACATTTCATAGAAAAACGGGTGTAGTTAACAGTAGCAAGAAGGAATGAATGTGAATGTTCAATAGACTGGGTGATTAAGTTCTCTTTAACAGTGTTGCCTGTTGTGCCTTTTTCATGAGCAGCCTTTTTTTCATCTGGTCAGTAAGCGCTTTCTTAGTTTCTCCCCCCAATGAAAATAGTAAGCTAAAGGGAATGTTCAGGTTTTTTGAAGTGGAGTTACCTGTGGTAGACAGCACTTAGCACTCTGACATTGCAGAAGCAGCAGTGAGTGTTGGGAACAAAATAAGGCAACAAATTGTTTGGAGAAAAAGACCACAAAACAACACCTGTTGAAAATACATATACATATTTAAATAATATTTTCAGTGCTTCACCTGGTAGGAATCCGTACACTAAACATACACGTGCATCTGTTCCTGCTGCAGACATTGTTACTGTGTTTTTGGCTAGTGCCAATTTTAACATTTTAATACTTTTTACTACAGGAAGAGTAACAAATATTTCAAATATAGCATACAGCAACAGTTCTATAAGCTGGAAGACTGCTGAGTACTGTCTACTGTATATACAAACATAAGTACAACGCCATTACAAATACCATATTCCTACTGATTAAGCATGTTCTATATTAAAGTATTTCAG